AAAATCCAAATACTGACATTGTTGAGAAAAATGTAATAGATATACAATTGTTATAAGTGAACTGCTGGAATTTGTTCACTCAGCCATTTTGACTCACATTAATGCTTTCCAGTCTGCATTTCTCCTGAAAGTTCACACACAAATGAAAATGGAAAACTGCCAATACCTCTTCTCTGTCCCACTGTTCCATTCATAATCATATACTTAGGGACTTTTGGACTCCAAATTACAAATAACAGGAAGATAAATCAATCGATAATAAAACGGCTTCTCATCTTACTAGATGCTTAGCCCCATGCTCTATGTATGCAGTGTGCTGGCTGGATGTCTTTTGGCACAACTGTTTCATGTTCAGCAAGGCTAGCACACAGGTTGGTGTCTTCAGAAAGGTCAACCAGCTTAGCCTTACTTGTCTCTTGTGTTCTGGAAGCACAGGTCTGCCCTGAAGTCCTGGGCAATTTTTCACATCAAATGCTGGAAGGGAAATTTAAAAATCAAGGAATTTTCTGATAACACCTGATTTCAAGAGAGCCACAGTACAAGGATATAACAATGAGGTTTCTTGACCCCTCCAGTAGAGGGTGCACTCTCTGGAGCGGATTTTGTATCCAGTAACAAGAAGCCAATAAAGAGGTTTAAGTAGGAGCAAGAAATAATCAGAATTGGGAACGTTTGAATATTACTCTGGTTGTATCAATAAGAATCTACTTGGGTGTGGAGAGAAGACTAGATGTGGAAGTTAATCATTTAGGAGATTGTTGCAATAATCCAAGTAGTACCAGCATAGGGACAGTGAGAACAGAGGGAAGAGGTTGGACTCAAGATGAATTTGGGACGTAGTATCAACAGGCTTTGAAGGTGGATTGGATATGAGACGGGGGGGGGGGGGGGGGGCGTGACTGGGAGGAAGTCATGAAGGTGCCTTTTTGCTGAGAAAGAAAGATCAAAACTATAAGACAGAGATAATTAATATGATGGTATAATGTATGAGGCGTTGAAGAGCTAGGGTATGGGGGAAGTAGAGCATCGAAAGTTGAGCCAGGGTTTCACCTGGAGACTTGTGGAAAGACAGTTAAAATGGTTAGGGGAGGTGGCTTTTAGGTAAGGATATAGGAGATCAAAATGGCTTTTCTGTTGGTTTCAGTTTTTCTTTTTGGTGGGACTGGGGTTTGAATGCAGGGCTTCACACTAAAGCAGGTGTTTCACCACATGAACCACACCTCTCCATCCATTTTGCTCTGGATATTTTGAACATGATGTCTGGTGACTTATTTGCTCAGGCTGACCTTGAACCATGACCCTCCTGATCTCAGCTTCCCAAGTAGCTAGGATTACAGGTGTCAGCCACTGGTGCCCAACTCCAATTTTCTTGATATTTAAATCACTGTCTACAAAACATCTTGCCTGGCAAATGTTCATAAAATAATTTCAAGCCACAAAATGTTTAAGCATAACTGTCATTAACTGTAAATAGTGGCATAAAAAACTACTTAACTAATGATCCCAATATGGGGAGAAAAGGAATATAGAAAAAAAGGCAGAAGTGGCCAGGCGTGGTGGCTCATGCCTATAATCCCAGTTACTTGAGAGGTAGAGATTGAGAGGATCACGGTTCAAGGCCAACCTTGGCAAAATGTTAGCAAGATCCTCATCTCAACCAGTAAACTGAGCATAACAGTACGCATCTGTCATCCTAGCTACATAGAGGTATAAATAGGATCAAGGTCCAGGTTGGCCTGGGCAAAGACCACCTGCCTAGTAATTGTGAGGTCCTGAGTTCAAACCCCACTACTGCCAAAATAAGTAAGTAAGCAATAAAAAAATTATAAACTAGATGAAAACACAATAAACTTACATGAGTGGCAATTTGGAGATGGACAGAGAGCCAGAATTTCCTAATGTATATTTCTTTTGGGAGGTTGATACTGGAGTTTAAACTTGGGGTCTCAAACTTGCCAGGCAAGTGCTCTACCACTTGAGCCACACCCCAGTCCTGTATATTTCTTTTAAAATCCTGTTTTTATTTTTGAACCATTAAAAATGTATTATCTGAGCTGGACATGGTAGCATACACCTGTAATCCCAACATTTGGTAGGCTGTGAGTAGTATTATGAGCCAGAAGTCAGACTATTACCTAAAAAAAAGAAATTACCTAATCAAAAACATTAAATGTTTGCTGGGCAGAAAATATACTAAAACATTAATAGTAACTATTCCCAAAGGGTGGGACTAAGGCTTTGCCTTCTACTTGTATATTTTTATGATCAGAAAAAGGATGCAGCAGGATAACAATGGCTTGTGCCTGTAATCCTAGCTACTCAGGAGGCCGAGGTCAGGATTGCAGTTTGAAGCCAGCCCAAGGCAAATAGCTGTGAGACCCTATCTTGAAATAAACCATCACAAAAAGGGCTGGTGGAGTGGCTCAAGGTGTAGGCCCTTGAGAAAACAGACATAAAAGTTGGTGATTTAGCTCACTGGTAGACTGCTTGCCTAGCATACAAGAGTTCCTGAGTTTGATTCTCCCAGCAAAAAAAAAGAAAAGACACTTTTTTCTTTTTTAGTGTATGTGATACTAAAGTTTGAATTCAGGGCCTCACACTTGCTAGGCAGGCGCCCTACCACTTGAGTCATTCCACCAGCCCTCTTTTTGTGTTGGGTATTTTGGAGATAGAGTCTCACAAACTGTTTTCCTGGGCTGGCTCTGATCTGCAATCTCTTGATCTCTGCCTTCTGAATAGCTAGGATTGCCTGGTGGTGCTGGGGTTTAAACTCAGAGCTTTACACTTGGGAGGCAGGCACTTTTTACTCTATTGCTTGAGTCATGCCTCCAGCCCTAAAAAGACAACTTCCAGATCATTTAGTCCTTGATCTGGCTCTGCTCCAGTCTCAGTCCCTGCATTCTCTTTGCTGCTATCTGACAAGCCTGGTCTTTAGGCATACACAGAATGTCTTTTTAGAAAAGATATATGATGACTTTGGGAGGCCATTTCCACCCAATAGAGATGTCAACAAAGAAAGGAAAGGGACAAGGAGACTCCCCAATAAGAGAGGGGTAAATCCTCAACTGAATCCCATATATAACTCTCCATATACAAGGCCTTTAAAATTCACAATGAAAAGCATTTCAAAGGGTTTCATAAAAAAGAAAAACTCACAAGGTGGAAATTTAGCAAAGACTTCTTTAGCAAAACAGGAAAAAGGAGAGAGAAATAGAAAAAGGGAAGAGGAGCATCTCCTGTCTGACATGGAGGTGATGGAATCAGGGGCTCAAAATTGCAGTTTTTGGCTCAGGTGTATTTATACCTTCTAGACTAAGCTGGAGAATCCAGTTGAAACTTTTCCTAGAAAAAGTCACATCAGTTAATGGTAACTAATAGAAATACGCAGGCAAAAGTGCCTCCATTTTGGGCCCAGCTGGATCTCCATTCTGATCTCCATTGTGCCCTCTGATTAATGACAAAACCACCCCTCTGCTCCTGGAAAACACACCTTAAAGAAAACAACCATCAGTCTCAGAAGATGAGCACCAGAGACCCCTTGCTCGAGAACTTTCCACCCCAACAACCTCAGTAAATTTTTCACATCACCCACTTCCTCCTTCTCTCATACAAAGTATACATAGAAACCTCCCTGCCTCAGAGTCAGCTGCTGCACCATTCTCATTGGCAGCCTGGCAGCTTTAGCCTGTCATTAAACTTGCTTGCTGGACGTGAAATTCTCTCCTGAGCTTTCTTTCGGGGGGGGGTTTCCCTAACACTACAGTTAATCACTTTGCTAAACTCCTGTGTTGATGTTATCACCCAAACATGAGGACAATGGATTTTAGTGTGGCTTTACTATTACCCAAATGTGGGCACAATGGGTTTTGTGTCATAGGCACTTTTTGTGATCTTGAGCCTTCCTTTCTGGTAAAAAAATTAATTCACCATGGCATACCTTCTATTCTGGGGTTGTATTCTTCATCTAAGAAGATTGTAACTCACTTAACATCTAAAAGAAAGGGGTGTGATTGAATACATGTACTTCTTTAAAAGGACTAATTTTTTTTTCCGCTGCTCTAAAAGAAAGATTAGCAGTCAACATCTTAATCATTTAGATTAAGAATTCTAAATACTGTTTAGAATGTAGGATGCCCAGCAAAGAGAGGGGAAGCAAAAAGAAACCTTTGCCGAGGTGAAGTGGCCACTGTTACAGCATGACATTTTATTCATATATAAAAATTTAAACTTCTTAGTGATTTTTTCTTTTAAGCTTTATGTCCTGACTCTGGTTTATTTTCGGATTTCTCTGTCATCTTGTCCTATCTATCCTGACTCAGAGAGGGAGGGCTGGGATGCTAAGACTACCGCTATGAAAGTGATGGGTTGGGTTTGTTACTAGATGGGAAAGACCTGAACATAGCAGGCTTTTTGGTGTCGTGAGAAAGCCCCACTAGAATGAGATACGTTAGAAATGAGAGAAGGCCAGTGCAGGTGGCTCCACGTGTCATCCCAGCAAGGAGGGAGGCAAAGAGTGGGAGGATGGCGGTTCCGGGCTGGCCTGTGCACAAAGTGAGACCACGTCTCCAAAACTACCAGATCAAGCGGTAGGGGCTGCCTAATAGGCGTGAAGCCTTGAGTTCAAACCCCAGAACAACAACAAATGCGAGCAGAAAATGAAGAGAACAGGTACCTGGCCCAGCGACCTCACACCGTGAGAGACACGGGAGATCCTGCCAGGCCTGTAGAGTCTCGGAAGTGCGAGGGGAGAGGACAGAAGGAGTGCCGTTCTGTTGTGGCTGCTGAGAAGAAAAGAAAGCAGGAAGAGATGGATTCGCGACTATAAGAACAGTCACACCAGAGGAAAGACGCTACGTCCTTGCCGGCAGCCCGCAGCCCCTCCTCCTCCCGTCGGCGTGGCTCCAGGCAAAGGAAACGCTCACAGGAAGAGGCGGAGCTACGAGTTCGGAGTCGCGCGCACGGCTCTCGCGAGAGCAGTAGAGGGCGGAAGCGCAGTAGGTACAGGATGCGGTTCCTGGTTGTGTTGCTCTTGGTGAGTGTCGCAGGGGCGGATATGCTCACCCCCACCAATTCCGTGGTCACCCCCGATGCAGGAAGAAGCTCCAACCTGCCCTCCACGACCCCGCTACCTCAGGCAAATACTAAGTTAGAAGTTTCTGCGTTTTCCGCCAAAGGAAGCCCTGCCAAGCCTGCGGAGTCAGAGCCGCCGCCAGCGGAAAACCCCGCCAAGTCTACGGAGCGTGAACAGCATCCCGCGGGAGACTCCCCCAAGCCTGCGGGACCCGGGAAACCTCCCGCGGGAGACTCCCCCAAACCTGCGGGACTCGGGCAGCCCCCCGCGGGAGACTCCCCCAAACCTGCGGGACTCGGGCAGCCCCCCGCGGGAGACTCCCCCAAACCTGCGGGACTCGGGCAGCCCCCCGCGGGAGACTCCCCCAAACCTGCGGGACTCGGGCAGCCCCCCGCGGGAGACTCCCCCAAGCCGGCGGCACCCGGGCAGCCCTCCGCGGGAGACTCCCGCAAGCCGGCGGCACCCGAGCAGCCCTCCGCGGGAGACTCCCCCAAGCCGGCGGCACCCGGGCAGCCCCCCGCGGGAGACTCCCCCAAGCCGGCGGCACCCGGGCAGCCCTCCGCGGGAGACTCCCCCAAGCCTGTGGGACCCGAGCAGCCTCTTGAGAAAGAAAACTCTGCCAAGCCTGCCGGACCCGGACAACCTCCCGCTAATCCTGAGGGGCCCGGTCAATCTTCCACCAAAGACTCTGCCAAGCCTGCGGGGACAGGGCAGCAGTCCACAAAAGACCAGTCCAACAAGCCCATCTCCAAACCCTCCTCTGGTAATGCGACCCCCAAGACCGACAAGATCCAGCTGGATGGAGGAGAGACGTCTCCGCATACTACGAAAACTGAATCTGGGGAGAAACTGACAGTGGAGGTAGAAGATAAGTCTGCAGAGCCTACTGAGGATGTAGAACCAAAGGAGGATGAAGAAGGTGATACAGAGCTTGAAGAAGGCTCGCTGCCCAAAGAAGAGAAAGAAAAGGTGTCTGGCCCTGTCTCCAGTGAGAACCGTAAAGGGACACTTTTGGATTCTATGAGTAGTGAGAAGGATGACGTTTATAAGGATAATTCTGGGAGTGCCAGCGCAGAGAGCAGCCATTTCTTTGCATATCTGGTGACCGCAGCCATTCTTGTGGCTGTCCTCTATATTGCCTATCATAACAAGCGGAAGGTAAGTCAAACATTGTCTTAGGGAGGGGAATGGAATTTACTCCACCCTAAAAGTTCGGTGCATGGACAGGTACCCATTACTCATCTGCCTGTGAGCAGTGGGGATTTTAAGACCAAATTCCGTTTTTCCTCAGACCCTGCTAGGTGCTCTTTGCTCTTGTTTTGTAAGTCACGTGTTTTCATCCTGTGACCTGTTTGTTCTCAGAGCTGTTGCGGTAAGGTGCCAAGGTAGGACATAATTATGACAACCTAAAGTGGAATCTCTTCTCATAACCTTGCACTTTGATCCTTCACAGCCTAAATACTTGACAGATTGAGGTGTACCCTTTTACCATGCTTGAGACAGTATATCATTTCTAGCTTCTTCCATCTGAGGTGGCAAAAAGAAAACTTTGTTACATAATCTCAGAATCAAGGGCAAATAGCCCAGTGACCCTCTTCTGCAATTGATGATAGTTAGAAGCCCATAAATTGTACAGATAATATGTGTTTTCTTTAGCAGCATTTGGCATGACATACTATCCATGTCCTTTAAGCAACCACTCTAATGACAAAACGATTGCATCTCCTGTTGAACCTTGAGAATTTAGAAGATAGTTTCCATAGCCTGGTTAAAGTTGAACAGTTAACGGTGGCTATCAGGTCTGTTGCTATAAAGAATGAGCATAATTGTGTGCTTCTTATTCTACATCCAAGTGTTCACAATGAGAGTATAAAGAATGAAGGTGGCTTGTGTCTTTAATCCTAGCTACTTGGGAGGTTGAGATTGGGAGGTTTACAAGTTCTTTTAGTGGTGTTAGGGATTGAAACCAGGGCTTTGCACAAACTCGGCAAGTCCTCCACCACTGAGCTACATTGCTAGTCTGGAAGAGTGCTTGCCTACCATGCTTATGACCCTAGGTTTGATCCCCAGCACAGTCAATCAATCATTTGATAAATGTTATAATTTAAATAGCCCTCGTTGTGGGTATCCTCTTTTCTGTAGCTAGGGTCATAAACAAATGTAGTAGTAGGTGACTGCCTCTGGTTGAGATTGAAATATGTTATTACGGAGCCACCTGTTAATTGTTTTCTTTTTCCTTTCCCCAGATTATTGCTTTTGCCCTAGAAGGAAAAAGATCCAAAGTCACCCGGAGGCCAAAGGCCAGTGACTACCAACGTCTGAACCTAAAGGTAAGGAAGGAGGAGCCAGCTGTGTAGGAGGGTTGTGCAACCCACATGAAGCCAGTGAGTTTGCATTTGGCATGGCAGCAGCAGCCAATTCTGGGGATGATGCTATCATTGCCCTCACCCATACAGACCACAAACTAGAACCATCTACATGCTGTATACACAGCTGCAAAGAGCTACAAGATACCTTTTAGTACTTTCTCTCCCTTAACAAATGAAGAAACAAGCTTGCCCAAAGACAGTGTGATTTTCTTCCTAAATTTCCACTAAGTTAGTGATAACATCAAGATTTTAGCAATTCCCTAAACACCCAATCCTAAGATTTTTGCGCTATACCAGTTCTTTGAAAACTTTAAAAAAAAATTATTAGCATATAGCCAGGCACCAGTAGCTTATATACATAACATACATTGTTGTTTATTTATGTGCCTATAATCCTAGCTACTTAGGAGGCAGAGATAAGTAGGATTGTGGTTCAAAGCTAGTCTGGGCAAATAGTTCTGAAGACCCTATCTCGAAAAACCCATCACGGAAAAGGACTGGTGGAGTAGCTTGAGGTGTAGGCCCTGCATTCAAGCCCAAGTACCAAAAAAAAAAAAAAAAGCATATAATAGTTGTACGGGGGATACATTGTTATGTTTATTTATGTGCTTAATATATATTAGTTACATTTACCCCCTCCATCTTTCTTCCCCTTCCCCCCTCCCTCTTCTTTGCAGACTTTTAATAGGCATAAGAATCACCCTAGTAACTGATAAAAAACAAAAGCTGATTCACTAGGTATGGGGTGGAGCCTATGCATCTTCATTTGTAGGAAGTTCTTAGGGGACACCAAGTGGTGGCAAAGCACCAGACTATACTCCCTGAAAACAAATGAGCCCAGAAGCACAGAGGCTTCCAACTCCCCAGATCAGCCCCACATTCATCACTGTGGGCAGGACCTCCTGAACGCAGCCAGTTTGTCTCTGCCAGAGAGAAAAGCTATCCTTTGATCCCACAGCAACAGGTGCTGAACGGAGCTGAGCAAGGTTCTCCCCAAAGGTAACTTGTCTAAGCAGGAAGTGTGTACTCACACTGGGTTGTTGCCAGCATGTGCCCTTCTGTCCTGTTCTGTGTCACAATAGGAAGGGCACTGGCAAAGAATAGTAGTGGTCTAGGTGTGAATTGTCCCAGACTTCCTGTAGGGAATACAATTCATAGATATAACTCACACCAGCTATAGAATAAGCCACTCAGCTCAGAATATCTTTGCCTGATAGCTCAGCTGCACAGTTAGCTCTAGCCTACTACTTTCCTGTCAACTTTAAGGATTTTTCCTCCTTCATTATAATACACATATAACCAATTCAAAACCATACAGAAAGATTAAATCAGAAGCCAGGATCTCGTATACCTTCCATGGAGGGTTTATCTTTCTAGTATATATTTTTATTTCAAGCTGACTTTAAGACTCATTAATGTGAGTGATTTTGTGTGCTTTATTTATTTATTTATTTATTTATTTATTTATTTTGATCAGTACTGGGCTTTGAATTCAGGGCCTTACATTTACTAGGCAGGGATTTACCACTTGAGCTATGTTACCTGCCCCATGTGCTTTTATTTTTATTAATTGCTGTTTTCTTCAAAATCATAACAGTATGATATATTCCTCTGCAAAACAATGAATGTTACCATTAGACTGTGTCACTTTCGTTTCAGCTTTGACTTTTTTTTGCCTTCGAGAACCTGTCCTCCCTGCTGATTTGTTTCCAAATCAAGAGAAATGAAGAGAAAAGAACTGTGACCTCCTCTGGGGTTTGGTGGCAAGCGTGGGCTGGCGGAGGCCGGGGATTTCTTTGGGTTTTGCACCTGCACTTTGGTGACATTGTACTCCAGTGATATTGTACTTTTGTGTTCCCTCCATCCATTCTTTCTTCCGCTGAGTGTGAGTGGAGAGAGCCTGTAGAAACACGGCTGTGACCAAAGGGAGACCCCAGCCCTGGACAGCTACATTGCTGACCACCCTCCCTTGTCTTTGGTTCTTTAGTAAAGTTAGCCCTTGACTATGACATTGCACTATTTATCTTTGCAGAAGTAGGGGGAAATTCTGCAAGTAGAAGTACTTTTCTATTAAGGCCTCTTTGGAGGGAATGTACCCTACAAAAGATGTTGAGAATGGTGAAATGCTGATGGGCAGAGGAATACTTTGAACATAGAATTCTCTTCAAAGACTTTAGCAGCAAACCAAAACAGCAGTTAAAAAGTGCTTTATTGCCTGCAAATCTAACCCATGTAGCATAAGTTCTCCATATTTTTCTGATACTTTGTTTCACTTGAGAAAAAAATGAATCAGCTTGTGTTTGCTTGTACTAGCACAAAACTGAACCAGAGGTTTGGGGAAGTAAAGCCACTGTCTCCATCAGATTTTTTTATAAATATGATTATGATTATTCTAACAGTGTGTTCTTTGCTACAATTATACTGAATAGGAACTTCTTGAAAAAGAGCAAGTTCGTGTTTCGTGCCATAAAACACATCGGAGCATTTTGGTCTACATTTCTTTCAAAGAGCTTTTATGAAACAGGTTCCCCACAAACTATTTTACCTTTGTTGCCTAAAATAGATTTATATTTAGAAACTAATTTCACTCTGCACATTTTACCTTAATCTGGTTAATGGTCCTCTCTTCTAAGATGCCAAGGGTATGCTTAAGAATTCTCTTTCCATCCCATGTCAGGGGTAGTACTCCTGGGATAACTGAGAGTAGTGTCTTAGATCACACAGTTGCATGAAGTTTTATTTCAGTCTTTTCAGTAATGCCTGAACTAATCTCAGGGACATGGAGAGATGTGGGAAGAGGGAGGTAAGATGAATTCTGTACTGTCCAAGAAGTCAGTCTGAAGAGACCATCCTCATCTTGGCAGACACACACTTTATGGAGATAAGGAAAGAGCATGTACTCTTCTTGGCATCATTCTGCCTGCTGTGCACAAGTCTTTTAATTTAGTGAAAGTAATAGCAAAGTTTATTAAGAATAGTTTATTAGAATAGAAAGGCACTTTCTGAGGTGAAAGTAGGTTGTCTCTGAGAGGTAGAGAACAACCTGTGCACAAGTCTTATATTACTTCTAACTTGAGGAATCTTCACAGACCCCTCCAACATTCCCTAGGACAAGTCATTTCTATTTCCCCCCTCTAGTGTTTTCTGTTTGCCTGTTTACACTAGCACCTTCCCTCCAGCTTTCATGTCCATTCATACCCATTCCATTTATCATTCCACTGTTCTGCTGCTCTAGTAAGTTTCTTGCTTCCATTACCTTGTCATTCATTCTTAGTTGACTTTTACAAACTCACTTTGGCCCCTGTCTTTCTATGTGTTACCAAAGGTTATTCACTTACCAGGTTATTCACTAATGGCTCATTCTCAATGCTTAGTCTTATACTTGATAGAATTGGACATTGTTGACCACGCATATTGACATTCCCCCTTTGCCTTACCCTGTGCTGGAAGGGAAGACGACCCTCAGAACCAGATCTCCTGTCTCAAAAATTCATTCTTCATCTTGCATGCAACTCCAGTCTTTATCTATCTTTATCCAGTCCTGCTATATGTGAAGTAGTTATTGCTGTCACTAAGTCTGAATTTCTGTTCATCAAGCTGCCCTTCTCATCATCTGAACTCCACACTGCAAGCTTCTATCATTTTTCTCATCACAAAAGTCCTGTCCAATTAAAGTCTCCAGCTACAATCTTTCCATTTTCCTTACTTTCCCTTGCCCACACCCCACCCATTTCACTTCTCTGATTAACTTTTTATTTGCAGGAGCCACCTTAATTGAGTCACCAGAGCTCAGCTACTCTGATAACTCTTAATAGTGCCACTCACTCATTTTGGAGCTTTTAGCAGAACAGAGCATTCAGTATCTGGTGTTGCTCTGGTCTCCCCAAGAAAACAAGCTCTGAGACAGCTCTTGGCATTGTTCTATCTGCCTAGCATAGTGATACTTCTTATGGACTTCAGGAGTTGTTACTTCTTGCAGAGGTTCTCTTTTTTCATGACATTTGGATGTGACTTAAATGAGAGCTTTTCATAACTCTTTTCTGGCTACTGATTGCTATGATCTTATTATATAGGTTGGCTTTGGCTTTTAAAGAGGAAAGCAGGAAGAAAGTGGACACTTAAGTATTGTCATGGAGCCCACCTACTCAATCATTTGAGCCTCTAAAAAGTGTCATTTCTTATGCTGAAAAAGTACAAGAGAATTTTAGTTTTACTTTAGAAGTTGCACTAGAAGGAACTATCTCCCACCAAAAGAACACTTATTTTTTCAGGATAGTTGTCATTTTCAAAAATACTTAAAAACATGTTTACCTAGAGATTGTGTGGGTGAGCATGAGCTGGCTTGAGCTGGGGTGGAAGTGGGGTTGTGTGAAGCACATGGAGCTGGGTTCTTTTTCTGCACCAGCTTTAGGTTAGACAGTGATTTGTTAAGAAGAATCTGCTTGAGTCATGGATGTTAATAGAGGAACTTGTTTTCCTGCTATGGATTACTGTTTATTGTTATTGTTTATGGTCCACCTCTGGACTCTGAAGGAATTGAAAGTCAGTCCATCCAGAAAGGCCAAGGCAACTTGGAAATACCTGACAAAAGCTATATATACTGATATGTTTGATAAAACATTTTGTGATAGAACTCTTATACCTCCAAAATTCCCTTGATGGTAATACTCATTTTCTTTTCCAGTCCTTTTTTTTTTTCTCCAGTCCTTGTTTTCACAGGGTAACTTGAAACATGCTGGATGTGTGATGAAAGCTGGAGCACTTTACTTAGTTTCTGAAACATCTGAGCTTAGGAGAGTGTTTTAGACACCAGAACCTGTGCTTCTGCCAGGCTGTTTCCTGAAAATCCTTGCTAGGAAGGTTGAGTTTGGCATGGCCATGCTTGAGTAAGAATGCTGGGGATTTTGAGGTTTAATTCACCTGTACACCCAAAGCCAACAGTGACTCTGAATTCACTTAGTCCTATGAATCAGATGTGAATTTCCTTAATATTCCAACCTACAAACTCCTGTAAAGGGTTTGGGTCTGAGCTGTGTAAGTGTTGCAAACTGCTAACAAAGGCAGCCCCCTCACACTGATAGGTATTCTTTTAATTCACAAGACTATCATGTTAAGTAAATGATTGTTAAAACTGTTTGTCCAAGTAGTAGATTGCCACTGTTTAGCAATTTTTGTATTTTCAGCTTTTTGTAACTTAACTATAATTACTTTATTTTTTTAAAGCATGTTGTGGTCTAATGATAGGCATTTCTCAATATAAAATGCTTTGCTGAGCTTCTGTAAATGCCGTCTCAATGTAGTTTTGTGTCACTGAACAGAAACCAAAATAAATTTGAAATATCAAAGCAGTGAAACCATTAAATTTATTTACAGGGACTAAAATAAGGCCCTTGGTATTTCAGTTTAACAAAGTGAAAGGTAATTTTTTTTTAAGCTGTAGCCTTTACTATTCCCCTACCTATCCATCCTTCACACAGGCTGCTCATCCCTAATCTGAAATGCTCTAAAATTACAGCTTTTTTGAGTGCCACCATGACCTCATATGACAGGTCACAATCAAAATACACAAAATTATTTAGAATATTTTATAAAATTATTCTCAGTCTAAGTATATATATATAAGCTGTATAGAAAACATCAATGAATTTTGTATTTAGACCTAAGTCCCATCTCCAGGATCTCATATGTATGCAAATATTCCAAAAATTGAAACAATTCAGGTTTCAAGCATTTCAGAAAACAAATACTCAGCTTTTTTGGGGGGTAGGGTGGAGAGGAGGTGGTACTGTGGTTTGAACTCAGAGCTTTGCACTTGCTAGGCAGGCAGTCTACCATTCAGAGAACTCCAGCCCAAGGATACTCAACTTTTATATGCACCAGCAAACTACAAATGCTGTTTCTGGGCTTTGTACGCAGTCGTGGCTCTCCATTCCCTCCTCCACCCCTCCCTAGCAGGTTGGTCATGGTCTTGTCTGGGTTGCAGGGCTCTTGTGGGAAATTGTTGCCTCAGTGATATCCTCCTCTGTATCCCTAACCTGGAATGATCCTTGAGCCTTCTTCAGTCCCATTGAAAACTTACCAGTCTCCCTTCCTGAATATTTTAGAGAACAAGGCTTGAGGCTTAGCTACGAGGCTCCCTGAGGGTATCTTGGCACTGGCACTTTGAGAATTAGTTGCCACCCAATCATAAGATATGCCTAGGGCTTGGTTGCATATGAATTGGGTATTGTCTTTTTTTTTTTGGTACTGGGGTTTGAACTCAGGGCCTACACCTTAAGCCACTCCACCAGCCCTTTTTTTTGTGATGGGTTTTTTTGAGATAGATAGGGTCTCACAAACTGATTACAGGCATGAGCCACCAACACCCAGTGTCTTCTAACATACAGCTTACTAACAGGTCTTGTCATTAGTCCTAACCTCTAGAACCACACTGAGCTGTCACAGGCATTTTCTGCCCTCCAAAAGGGCCATTGGACCCAGAAAAAAATAGGACCTGGAACCCTCTGAGCCTAAGGAACAACAACCAAAACCATCCCCAAGTTTTGATGAAAAACCTCTCTCTCCTTAGTCACCCTGTCTCTTGACAGTGCAGAACTCCAGCACAGCACTAAGAGTGAGTGAGAGGGAAAGCCTCAGATCAAGACTGGACCAACCTGCTTCTGCTGGTCACCACCTTCAGGGATTCTGTGCATCTGAACCTTAGACTATTCAGCTTGATTGTTCAGAGTTGGGAGGTATGGGAAACGGACGTGGAACACTGCTTAACATGAGCCATTAAGGCTAATGCATATCAGCACCTAGACTAGGCCTTTAGTAGGAACAGTACATAAAAGGAGAGCTCCAGCCGAACAACTACGATTTATGGTAGGCCTGTGTTCAAAAATAAGAAAGTGCTTTATACATGCAAGGAATTAATGCAGAAATATATTATGAGTAAGTCAGGGGAGGTGTAATTCCTCTTTACTCATCCCTGACTAAACTACATCATCTTCTTCTGTGCCTTGACCCTTGAGCCAAGGTCCTTAAGGTCTGAGTACAAGTTCCGCTTCAAGATGGCACTGCTGCACAGCAGGGCCCCGTGCACGGCCCCCATTAGCCCACAGGTGAAGATATCCTGGCCTAGGAGAAAAGAGCAGAGGCCTATGAGGATCCACCCACATGGAGAGGGAAGGGCAAGGGCACTTGTATTCATTTCCCCATGCTGGGGCCACCCGGAAATGGCCAGATCAGGACCAGGGCCACAGCCTGCCAAGGCAGCCCAGCTCCAGGTATGAGAGCTGCAGAGGACAGCATGGTATGAGGACAGAAACAGAAACTTTGGGTGCCAGGGGAGACCAAGGTCTCAGATCCTGGCAAAGTGGGTCAACGTACCTGTCAGGTAGAGATTGGGGATGGGGCTTTGGGTCCTTATGGAGGCTATCACATGAGGATGCAGGCGACCTAGGTCATGGTCAGCCCCATAGGGGGCACCTCGGGGAGCAGCCAGGAAGAACTGGTTGGTCAGCGGGGATCCTCCAGTCACACTCTCCACCTGAAGAGGCAGAAAAAAAGGCAGGAAAACGATGGGTGTGGGAACTGTGAGAGCCTTGTCTCTTCTCCATGAATGACCAACTGCCTGGATGGGCATCCTGTCCTTCCCTGGGGCTCAGCTACCTTGGGCTTTACTTCCTGTCCAAGGGAAGGACACTAAGAGGTCTGTCATAACTACTGCTGCTGCTGCATATGCTATCCCTACCTTCCCCTCCAGATGTGGGAACAGTTTCATGACCACCGACATAGAGGCTTCAATGAAGGTGTTTTTGACCTTCTCATAGTCAGTACCCCGCTTTCCCTGCGGCTCCTCCTGCCACTCCTCAAACCACTCAAAGGCGGTGGGCACCAGCAAGATCATTGTGGACCTGTCTGGGGATACAGAGCAGGGGTTAGTGCTGCCTGGCCCTATCCTGACCCAACTCCCAGACCACCACTGTGAGCTGCTGACTCCTTAAGTTTCACCTGGGAATCGGTCCTCCCAAGTTGGGTCCTTAGCTGATGGGAAAGCAATGAAGAGAAGAGGGATGTGTTCTGGAGCCTTTTCCTTAGTCTGGGAGATGTACTTCTCCATCCTGTGGGTTAAGAAAAGTGTAGCTGCTAATGCCCAGGTCTTTTTCCTTAAGGTCACTAGCACCACCCCAAGGACAGTTCATCGCCAGGGACTCCCCAGGGGTAAAACTGAAGCACAGCTTGATATGAAAAAACCCTGAGTCCATCAAAAATTACCCACCTCTTCCCATGCCATATCCTACTGCTTATTCTGTGCCAAGGGTGGAAGCAGGGGCTCTGTGGGTTGAAGGCCCATGCCAAACCCTCTCCTCCACACAGCACCTTCTACTGCCCGCCCCCCCACCCCCCACCATTCCTTACGCTTTGTCCATGTTGATGTCAAAATAAACATAGTAGTTGGTGGACTGCAGACCCAAATCCTTCTTGCTGCCTCTCAGGCAGATAAAAATCGAGAACATGCTCAAGCCAGGCCGTACCATCTGCAGCTGCTGCTTCACACCTGCAAGTGGAGTTGATTGAGGACTGTGGGAACTGTGGCCAGAGATAGCTACTCCCTATCCTGACAGCCTGAGGAAGCCCACTCATTTGATCTGCAGCCTGATCCTCAGTTGCCAGCTGGGATAGGGTCCACACCATTTTTACACCTATTTCTACATGAACTTGGCAGGAGCCTGCCTGCTCTTCTATCTCCTCCAGGCTATGTAAGACATAAATTGAGATTCCTGTCCTTCCATCCCTATCCACCTCTGCTCTGGGCACCTTTACGCACAGGTGCTGACTGCCTACTAGCTCATGGCCCCTGCAGGACAGTCAGGCTAACTGCCCCAATCCTCTCTGTAATGTCTTTTAAGTTAGGAGCTGGAGGGAAGAACAGCACCATGGAGAAAGACAAAGGCCCCTGTGTGGACCACCTAAGCCTCTGGGCTTCCCCCACCTCTCAGTAGATGATTCCAGATGAGTTTTCTAGAAAATGTACCCAGAAATTCTTACTTTTTCCCATTCCCAGCACTTGCTTGAGGGATGACTCATTCAGCCACTGGCTGCTATGCTTCATTCATTTAACAAATACTGGTTGATGTCCTAAAATGTGCAGCTCCTGCATGTGCAGGCCCAGGGCACATAAGGAGTCAGACCTGATGCCTGTCTCCTGCAGCAGACACTTTGCTAAAAGAAGTTGGCAATCCTGATGGAAGCTACAGAGCACCAAGAACTATGGATAGGGTGACCATGAAATCTATCATCTTGAACAGGCCACTTCTGTAACAATTACAGCGGGAAAACAGGCTATGACAGGGAACGTGGCTTTTCATGGCTGCAGTAAAGAGCAGGGGATGGCCCTGCCTCATGCATACTGTGCTGAAGCTGCAGGGGATCTCATTACTGGGTCCTGTAAACAGTGGGGTATGGGTAGACGTGGAGAGAAAGCCTGGTTCTTCAGAGACCCCTCAGAAAAACAACCATCCTCCTGCCCCTCCCTTCTCTCCCCAACTAGAAGGAAGGGACCAAGAAACAATTCTCTCCTCTCCAAGCCAGTCCCTATTGCTCCTCAGCCTGGGCAATGTATGTAAGCATGTAAGGGTCCCCATTCACAGAGGTACCCTGGCTGCCTGGTCAGCCCAGCTCCACTCCCAATCCAGCTGACCTTGCCTGTTCCAGAAGCCACCAGGCATCTGATTCCCATCTGAGAGGTAGATCGAACTATGAGAATCCTCACCCCGAAACAGCTGGGAATGAAGAAGTCCTAACATACTGGGGTCTCTGTGGTAGGGGCTGGCAGCAGTAGATTGTTTCCAGGGTTAAGATACATAAGAGTGGTGAGAACTAACGGGACTAGAAAGGAGGACAGGCAGAACAGGTAACTTTCACAGGCCTGCTTAAAGAAAAAGCAGGCCTGGGTTGGACATGGTCCTGTCAGAAGGTAGTATCAGCACTCAGAGGTCCTGGGAGACAGAAAGAAAGAACCAGAAGCAAAGTCATCTATCCAGTCATGTTAGGCCCCATTGTCCTACCACTGGGCAATCTCTGCCTCACCTCACTTGGTGTACTCTGCCTGACAGTAGGCCTCATCTGGCAGCACTGAGGAAGAGGCTTGCTTGCCAGCATGATGTTATTGGGAGGAAATGGAACTTATAAAAAACATGGGGCTAGGTGGGAAGAAGTTTGGTCACTTAAGGCCCTTGAGGAAGACACTGGGGCCCAGCCCCTTCCTCTCTTTGCTTCTCCGCTACCATGAGGTGAACAGGCCTTTTCTACTCCTGCCATGATATACTGTGCTATCACAGGCCCAAAGCAACAGAGCCAAGTGATCATGGACTGAAATCTTTACAGCCATGAGTGAAAATTAGCTTTTTCCTCTTTTTAAGTTGATTACCTCATATTTTGTCACAGTAATGGAAAGCAGACCATCCTATAACTTCAGAGGCAATTGTAACTGCCACCTCACTCTCTCCCCCATGAGGGAACCCAGAACCCCAATTCTGTTTGTTTGTTTTTTATTTTGAGACAGGGTCTCACTAAGTTGCCCAGGTTGGCCTTGAACTGTTGATCCTCCTGCCTCAGCCTCCCAAGCAGCTGGGATTACAGGTGTGCACCATGATATCTAGCAGGACCTTACTTTCCTACAAACCTGCTCTGTGGGTCACCTTTCTCAGCTCCTCAGGGAGCAGCCCACAGCACCTACTTTCTGGGGTGGCCAGCTCCCTCCCCACTGCTTTCCAGGCACCACAAAGGCCACAGCTTAAATGTGAGCCACATCACAAGCTGCTCCATCCTTTCCTCCACCTGCCCCAGCGAGAGGCCTTTATCTGAACCACTGTCTTTCCTCCTCAATTACTGGTCTGCTTCTGGCCAACAGCCTCCTTTTCTCAGATCATACCAGTAGTTTCAAATCACATAATATTCTGAAGTAACTTCCAAGCTAACTTGGCTCAGTTATGTTCCCTATAGGCTTTCCTGCCCTTTTAATGAGCCTTTTCTATGGAAGCCCCATACTTCTTAGCCCAAAATACCAAGAGCCCAAACTTTGAATCTGACAGACCAGGGTCCTCATAGCTTTGCCACTTTCAGTGGGGTGGCCATGGGAAATTAAACTCAGTTTCCCCAAACATAAATGTTAGGCTAGTGACATTACAGACCAGAGTTCTCACCTTTTCTGCTTAAGGACAATCAGAGCAGTAGCCATGAAAGAAGGAAGCATTCACCCTGTCTGAACAGGTCACCTCAAGAGAGGAGATGCCAAGAGCTTGGAAAACCAGTCTTTTACCTGGAAGACAACGGGCACTCTCTGGCAGTAAGTGCTCATAAGTATTGAACAGTCCTGCATTGGAGATCACGATGGGGCAATAGATGTTCACCAGCTCTTGTCCCTTCTTCACACTGACACCTGCAGGCACAAAAAACTTGGCTGAGATTCCATGAATTCCAAGAAAAGAAGGACACTTATCTTTTCCAGATCTCTCCTAGCTTATGCTAGGAGAGTCCAGCTTGCCAAGGGCCAGGCAGGCCCCATATACACTGTAAAGTCTGGGACATATCCTCGGGCACTCAGTCTACACCACAATTGCTTCTAGGCTTACTTTGCTCTCTCCACCCACCCACATGGACTCTCACTCAAAGTGTGATGCCCTTCCCATGGAATCCCAGGTGTTCTCATGCTGCTGCTAGAGTTCAATGTCCAAAATGTTCAACTTCTGTAAGGAAACTCATTTCTCTGATCTGGTGTAGTCATCTATGTGTCCAGCCTCATCTCTGGCCACTGTCATGAAGTTATTAGGTAGGACCACATCAAACAGCTAGCTATTCAACCATTCTTTGATATTTTATAAACATGGCAGTTTCACCTAGCCAGGCACCAGTAGCTCACATCTGTAATCCTAGTTACTTGGGAGGCTGAGATAAGGAGGATCATGGTTCAAGACCAGCCTGAGCAAATAGTTCACCAGACCCCACCCCCAAAATAACCAGAACAGAATGGACTGGAGGTATGGCTCAAGCAGTAGAGCTCCTGCTTTGCAAGCGAGAAGCCCTGAGTTCAAACCCCAGTCCCCCCACCCCTGCCTAAAACAAAAAACAATAGCAGTTTCAACCTCCTATTTTCAGATGCCTCAAAGTATTCAGTAACCTTTCAGCACAGGCTATTCCCCATTCCTGGAATAACTTCCTCCAATCCCACCTATTTGCAGGCTGCTTCTTTACCCTTTATGCCTTGGCTGAAACCCCTCCATTCCTGTGAGGTTCTCCCTGTTTCACCATTCTCTGTTATCTCTGTCCTTTGAATAAGCTACTCCATGGCCCTTCAACTTCTTTCTTATGAGACTAGAAACTTCTTGAGAGAGAGATTGGCACTTAATTTTCTTTTATTACCTAACATATATTCTGAAATAAATTTAATTGAACTGATAAACGCACCCTGCTTCATGGACCCCTTTCAGCTTGTTTGCAGGCAAAAAGAAAGCCTCACAATTGAACTGACAGCCCCCTCTCTTCTATCACCCTGCAACTTCTCAGTCCCTTCTACAAATGTATTCTCTGAGCTCATAGGTGGCCTTTTGTGGGTGTTTTTTGTATGTGTGCTGGGCTACTCTTTCACTACCTCCTCCTCCTTAAATGTTCCTTTGGCAAATTCCTGTTCACAGCCACCCTATTTTGGTCTCTACTTGGCCTCCTCCCTGAGGCTTTTTTTTTTTTTGGTAGAAGTGGGGTTTGAACTCAGGGCTTCATGCTTGCAAAGCAGGTGCTCTGCCACTTGAGCCACACCTCCAACCCATTTTGTTCTGGTTATTTTAGAAATGGGGGGTCTCTTGAACTATTTACCTGGGCTGGTCTTAAACCACAATCTTGATTTTCAGCCTCCCAAGTAGCTATAATTATTACAGGCATAAGCCACTGGTGACTGGCTCTTCTGAGGCTTCTTTAAGCACCCCTTATCTGGCTGGTTCTGCTCAATAGAGTCCTTTGCATGGCCCCTCTTCAATGAGTTCACTGCAATGAAATTTGAGACTGTCTGCAAGTTAACAGCACCAACCTAAGCCAGGATAAGGAGATTCAAGGCCCCATTCTGCATTACACATGGAGAGCAGAGTGCACTCCTGACCTCCAGACTGCCCTACAGAATGCCTCTGTGATTTGCTAAGAACTACAGACATGAAGAAGATACAGCCCGACTCTCCAGAAAGTGGTCACAGATTACTGAATACATGTTTTTATCTACTGAATAAGTGATTAATCACTATTCTTTGAGGATCATACAATCCTTTATCCTTCCTGCTTCCTTTTTATGTCCACACTAATCACTATCCCACAGCTCCAGCTCTGTAGTAGATTCTAACCTTTCATCCTATGTGAGGAATTCAGTTCATCTACACCTTCTGCCTGCAGAGAGAACCCAGGTCTCTCTCACTGTACCCCAGGGACCCCACAACACAGTACAGGGTTCTCACCACAGGCTTTCCCAGCTGAGTCCAGCAGCACACTCTGCACAGTGGCCCTTGTGAGGACAGCACCCCCAGCCCGCTGAATCACAGGGATGGTATGGAAGGCAATCTCACTGGAACCCCCTCGAGGATAAAAGGCCCCTTTTAAGTAGTGATCAATCAGCAAAGCATGCATCGCAAAGGTGGTGTGGCTGGGAGTCACACCTACAGAAGAAAGGAGAGAAGGAAGGAAAGGTGAAGACAGGCAACCAGCACCTTTCAGGAAGAAACAGGGCTTCCTATGAAGAAACACACCTGAGTCCATCCCAGGATCCAAATGTTCCCAAGGTCCCCAGAGGAGCCGTCTCCATCCACGTGGGGTACCTTATAGATCCAGGGCCAGTGGGAATATACTCCCTAAAAACTGCCATGCTGACAAGACCAGGGAGTGGACGAAGGGAATTTCTATCAGGGAGTTCAGCAGGGGTCCAACTTCTCATCCATAAGCTCCAGAGGCCTGGAGTCTATTCTGCTTCATCTTAGTCAGCCAGGCAGGCTCAGGAAGAAGGACTAAGAGCCAGGACAGCAGCCCCTTGTCCTCCAGGGGCTGCCTAGAGCCTCCCATCAGTACGCACCATAAGTGGGGAAGATGTAGCTGAGTACTGCCTGGAGCTCAGGGGAGGCCCCCAGCTTCTGTAGGACCTCAGCCAGGCTCTGGGTGGATGCGTGGAGGAATGGAGAGAAACGAGTTAGCAGCGCACACTTGCTGAGGAACTGAGCCACTGGCAACGGGAGGACTTTCAACAGGACGAGATAAATGCTTCCGTTGGATACTGCCTGGGAAAGAAAATTAGCTGTGGGGAGCAGCTCTCAGCTCTGGAGTTGTGGCAAGAGTCACCATTCCAACAGCCTGAATGGGCCTGTGGGCCCAGCAACACTCCTGGCTGAACTTGGCTGAATTTGGATTTAAAAACAAACTAAACTTTGAGTTTTCTCATCCTGCACACTCAGATTGAGTTTTTCTTCTCTCTTTTTCTGTTTCTCTCTCTCTCTTTCTCTCCCTCCCTCCTCTCTTTCTTTCTTTGCTTTCCCACCCTCCCTCCTTCTCTCCCTTCCTTCCTTTTTTTTTTCACTTTTAATTTCTGCTCCTTTTCAAAACTCCCAGTCTAGTCTCAAATGAAATAAAGAATAGGAATGTAAATGCATGGAAGTCAGCTGAGTCAGAGAGAGCAGCAGGCACCCTCCAGAACCCAAAAGGGTAGAAGTGAACTCCTGCGGGGGCTGAGTTCAGGACAGACAGGACTGTCCTTCCCTTCCTGACTCCCCATCCAGTTCCTCTCCACCAGTCACTCCACTAATGAAAAAGTCAGCCTTGTTGGGAATAAACTGGAGCTCCTGAGAATGTTGTGCATGTTACCTTAACCAGCTTCATGAATTTGTCAATGACAGCTTCTTCCTGGGGAAACTTGTCCTTCAGGCCTTTAATGTATGCTTTTGTCCCACTGTACATGGGGAACTCTTTTCGGCCATTGGGCCCTTCTAGTACCATTATGTCAAAAGGTGAGGCTGTGGCAGCCCAGTCCAACTGCCCTTCAGTGATCTGGTCCAAAATAAAACGGCCACTACTGCCCTCCTGCATACGCCCAATATAATGGATTCCTGTTGGGAGGAAGAAAGACAAGGTGGCATAAGGAAAAGGGGACTGAGCCCTCGAAAGGTGGACGAGGAAATAACATGAAGAGATTGTCCAGCTTGGCCGAGTCCATGAGGAGTTCAGTTCAGGGGAGACTGCCCCCCACTTCTGCAGAAAGCTACCAGAGTAGATACCACCAGGTCCTTGCCCAGTATGTATGGCTGTCAAATAAGGACAGTGGTGCTCAGAGAGAAGATGACCCCTCCAAAAACCAGAAATGCCCAATATCACCCCATAGTGGCTACTCCAAGCCTCCTGAAGACAGAGCCCTTCTCCAAAACCTTTTCTACAGTCTTACCTGTGTCAAACTCAAGGCCATTTTTTCCAAAGGTATGACAACAGCCCCCTGCCTTGGTATGTTGTTCCAGCACCAGGACTCTCTTGCCAGCTTTAGACAGAATCGCAGCTGCGGCCAGGCCCCCAATGCCACTGCCAATTACCACTGCATCCAGTTTCTCTGGCACTTGGCTGACTGAGAAAGCTGCAGCAGAGAGGAAGTGGAAAGTGGGCTTCCCAGACTGTGGCAGGAAAGTAGCAAAAATAGAGAAACCAAACAGGACTTCTCTAGCTCATCCAGAGCAAGAAACCTCTACAGCAGTTTAGCACGGAACTCTTTTTTTTTTAATTGTTTTTACATTTGTTCCTATGTGTATACATTATTTGGGCCACCTCTCCCTCCCTACCCTCCCCCCCACCTCCCCACCCCTCTTCGCTTCCAGGCAGAACCTGTTCTGCCCTCTTCTCCAATTTTGTTGAAGAGAAAACAGGCGATAATAAGAAAGACATAGCGTTTTTGCTAGCTTGAGATAAAGATAGCTATACAGAGAGATTCCTAGCGTTGCTTCCATGCACATGTGTATTACAACCCACACTGGTTCATCTCTACCAGAGATGAACTTTCACTATTTTCTGCTCACCTTCCCATAGTGGCCTCTGCCAGCTTACTATATTTGCTCACCTACAGTAGGCACATCAGCCACAATCAAGTTTTAGGTTTCTTTCCCTTTCCCTATTCCTCCCATAGCATGGAGCTCTTCACTTAGACACCTCAAACATTTCACCTGGGAATACTCAGGACCAGCCAGGCAGCACAAACAGTGATATGGTTTGATCTTAACTGACTTAACTAAGGCCACTAATGTACCTGGGGTTTTTTCACTACTTTCAAAAAAAAAAAAGTAGGAACCAGAACTGGAGAGTGGCTCAAGTGGTAGCACCTGCCTAGCAAGCTCAAGGCCCTAAGTTCAAATCCCAGTACTGCCAAAAAAAAAACCTAATGTAAAAAAAGTAGGAATAGCACTTGTATGTATTTTTGTTTAGCTTGTAAGCAAAGACTTATAGACAGGTGTAAAAAATAAATCCTCTTTTGCAACCCAGAATACATTATACTGTATGAGTTTTGATATATATAGGGAATATGGTGAAAAAAAATAGAAATCAGTGAACTACTACAGGAACAAAAACAGAAAGATGACAACAGTACAGGTGGAAAACCTAAATGCAGACATCTCTGAAAGAGAGCAAGGGAGAAAGAATACAAGAGGGCAGGAAGACAGCTCATTCTCAAGCTGAGTTTCTTTGGAAGATGCAGAGACTGTAGGTGGCCTTGGAGCAAGGGGTATTGTGTAGTGGCTCTTCCAGATCCTGATGTAGAGGACTGAGCAGGACAAAGCTATTCAGAGGCTACTGCTCTGAGAAATCACAGCACCCTCTCCTATTGAGGAAGTTTGGGGAGGGGACACCTTAACAAAGGACCAAACTGGGCAGCATATGGTACTGTTTGGGCTGTTCCAACACAAGACCTGTTCTTTAAAATGACTGTTCATTTTCCTTTTTGTTAGTACTGGGGTTTGCACTCAGGGTGCTGCTCTCGCTAGGCAGAAGCTCTACCATTTCAGCCAAGCCCCCAGCCCAAGATATGTTTTTTAAAAATCATTGTCCATGCTGGTGCTGGTGGCTCACACCTGTAATCCTAACTACCCAGGAGTCAGAGATCAGGAGGATCATGGTTCGAAGCCAGCCTGGGCAAATAGATCCACAAGACCCTATTTCGAAAGAAACCCACCACAAAAAAGGGCTGGTGGAGTGGCTCAAGGTGTAGGCCCTGAGTTCAAACCCCAGTACCTCAAAAAAAAAAAAAATCACTGCCCATATAGAGTGGCTCAACTGGTAGAGTGCCTGCCTAGCAAGCATGAGCCCCTGAGTTCAACCCCAATTCTGCAAATAAATAAATAATAATAAAATCACTGCCCAAGAACTCAGATTTGGAATTTTTTCAAGATGCAAAAGGACTTGGCAAACCTTTTATTTTTCTAATGTTTAAGAGAGACCTATAATAAAAAATACATTGTATATCATAGCCCTGAATATACATAAGTATATAATATAAATACCTGAAACATAAGTTTCACAATATAATACTTAATGAAACTGTATGATGTACTCTTGATACTCTCTATTCTACAGCACTTAAAAATGGTAGTTGCAACCGGCTGATGTGATTTCCATAACCCACTAATAGACCATCCCTGATGGGTGGAGTGACTTGCCAAAGGCCAATGACTATGCAAGGAATCAGAGACAAAGCCCAAGCTAAAACTGATCTTGGAAATCCATACTATTACTCCTTCCACTCATTATCGTCTCTGAAATCAGGAAATATATTTTTTAAACTTTATTTTTGGTAGGATTGGGATATGAACTCAAGACTGTGCTTGCAAAGCAGGCATTTGACCGCTTGAGTCACCCTTCCAGTTCACTTTGCTCTGGAGATGAGGTCTTGTGAACTATTTCTCCAGATCTCAGCTTCCCAAGTAGCTAGGATTACAGGCATATATATTACACACATACTTTAAAAGTGACAAAGTACCTGGCTGACTAGAGAGGGCGCTGCGCTTTAGGCACCCTGTTGAATGGAAACTCAACGCTAAGAGTTAATACCACTTTTAACATGTCAAATCACCTGACTGGCAGAACACAATTTCCTATATAGATTGGAAGAGATATCCAGGAGGGTATATAAAAAGTTAAAAGCCAAATGGGAGAAAGGTCTGCTTCACCCTGTAAGCCTAAGTAAGGCGTTCCAACCGCGAGGGCCGGGAACCAAGTGGGGGAAAGGTCTATTTATTCCGTGATCACAACGAATGCCTGCGGGCAGGGCCGGAACTAGGTTATGCCAAGCCGCTGGCCTGCCAAGCAAGGTGCCCGCGCCCTTGGGGCAACTATTTTCCAAGCCTGCGGGAACAAAGACTCTCAGAATGGCGCAAACTAAAAACTGGGCGCCCCCGCGTGCAAGGAAGACCCAGCACTTTGACTTATGGGGCAACTGTCTTGCTCTGCAGGGACGGGAAGGCAAACTCGAGAGAAAGGCCTGGGGGCAGACCCGAAAACCCAGGGTTCCTCCTGCTAACCTTGTTTGAGAACCTTCTTCCTGGCCTCCTTGTTGGTCACCAGGGGCGCAGGTGGCCGCTTGACATCCCTGGCGAAGGGGTTCGGGGATCTTTCCGGGAAAAGCCACAGGTAAACTTTGCTGAGGACCGCCAACAGGAGCACGGACACCAGCAGCAGCATAAACCACATCGCGCCACTAGGGCTCCCAGGAACCGGTTGTGGCCGCCTCGAGTTGAGGTTTTATGGATGAGGCTCCGCCCGGAGAGCGTGCCCGCCCGACTTCTGGGGCGGAAGCAACTTTGACCACTTGTGCATCAATCTTTTCTGCGCAAGGCCAATACCTCTGCGCAAATTGACCTGCCCGGCTCTTCATACTTATTTTGCCAAGCGCAGCTCCCATTGCCTTCTGGGAAATGTAGTTTTTAGGTGGTGGGGCGGGAGAGGATGGACGAGAGGCACTGAGCGCATGCGCAGATGAGGCCCAGCCGGGGATGCTGGACCCCGGCCGGGAAACCTTGGGAACGCTTGGGACGCGTAAGGTGAGCCCGGGGGTGGTCTGAGAAGGGAGGATGTGGGATGGGAAGGGTCACCGTGGGGCCACACAAAGCTGAAAGTTGCAGGACTGAGATAGCATCTCGACAAGGAGACAGAAGGCATGGATTCTGGTCCCGGTTCTGTTGTGGACTTGGTGAATGCTCGGAGGCAAATTGCCTTCCTCCGCTTCTCGCCTAAGTAGTGAGAAAGTTTCTGTCTCAAGTCCCCTCTCAGCCTCTGTATAACTGGCATCGCGATGAGTGGCAACCTCTGTTGAGACCCGCGCGGCGATCACCCAGCCCTGTCACTCAGGAGCCCATAACTTTGGGCGGCGACTCCCCCTAGGACGACGTTGCTTCTGGCTGCGTTCCCAATGGTAACCAATCTGTGGGGACCTCAGGAGGCAGGAAGCTGCCCAGGAATTGTCATACCTATATGGGCATATATGTATTTAAGGTTGGAGCAGCTTCTAAATTAAATACCCATTATGAGAGCTTAAGTTCCAGCAAACAGTTGAAAAATTTCACCCTCTTAACCCATGCAGAAATTAGATGCACAAAAAATACTAGAGTTGAGAAGGATTCTCTCATATGTGGAATATAGACCTACTACAAATACAGCAATATTATGAAAAACAGGTCACACTAAGGGGGATCACATACGACGGGGGTGGGGGGAGAGTAAAAGACGGTGAATATGGTTGATGTACTTCCTATACAAGAATGAATATAGCATTTTTAAGCCTACTGAAACCACCATAAAAAGCAGACTAAGGTAGAAAGAAAAAAAATAGAGGAGGTAAACCAATTTGGGTTATAATACATATATACATGGAAATGTCTCAAGGATACTTCCTGTGTTGCTATCTTAAACAAACAAAAGTGTTATTTTTTTTCTTTTACAAAATCGGAGAACAGGAGGGCAGAACAGGTCCTGCCTGGGGTGGGGGGTGGTAGCAGTGGGGGGGGAAGGAGGTGGAAAAAGGGCATTGGAGTGCAAATACTGTATATACATGCATCTAAATGGAAAAGGAGACCTGTTGAAACCGTTCCAGGAATGAGGGGAAGGGAATAAAGGAGAATGGTGGAGGGGTTGAGTTCAAGTATGATATATTTGCTGTATTGTGAGATACATTGATATTTGTAAATGCCACAATGTACCCCCACCCAGCACAACAGTAAAACAAAAGAGGGGGAAAAAAAAAGAAGGATCCACTTTTATAGGAAGCTGATTTGCTCAGGTCAGCTTTCAGAAATGTACCTAATATTGGTAGGAGTGGCTTTATAACTTTAAGTGCTTGCTCATTTGACAGAGTTTTTGCTGTTTCTTTCTCAGATGCATACACTGTCCATATTACAGCTTCCAGCAGTGCTCCAGCTGGCTATGTAAAGCTGTTCGTGCTATGCTATTTGGTTCATTTCACACACAGTAACAGAAGAGCCCTTCTGAAATTACTGTTACCATTCTGCCTGTCACCGCCAGGTTGGCTGTGTGGTTTTTTGTCATATGCTGCTATAGAGGCTAAGGTGGGAGGAAAGGAAAGGGGAGGCAGAGGCTGAGACTGAGGGCTCCAGTGAGAGCTGCAGTCTCACTGCAACCGAGGGGGTACTTCCTGCCCTCCTAGATTACAGTGAGCCAGATGTCCAGCCAAAGAGCCAGGAGGTATTCCTCCTCTTAGTGTTAATCAGTGCTTCCTGACAAAAATCCCAGTTTGTTGTTGGCAGCCAGTTCTTAGGGAATCCAAATCATATTCCTATAGTGGAGAGCTGACCTCATAGAGAGGCCACCCTTCTCCCTTAAGTCACTGAGTCTGTGAAGTATGCTTCTCAGTTGTGTGGGAGCCATCTGCCCACTTATGATCTGGGTTTTTGATGCACTAGATGTCCAGGATGTCCAGCTCCCTGTGATTAAGATATGATCCCTGTCCAGCCCCTTTCCTGAGGCAGGCAGCATTCATGAGATGAATGACAGAGTTGGAGCTAGAGAGGTAGCTTAGTGGTAGTGTTTGCCTAGTATGCACTGGATTTGATGTCCAGCAATGCAAATCACACAACACACATGCACACACACACACAGAGAGTTGGCCTAACTGGCTAGGCAGCTGCCATATATATATGATAATGGTAAGAATTAGGAGGTTAGGATATTGTGTTGCATTTTGAGCTTCTACTGTCCTAGAAACCATGGTATTATAAGTCCCCAACCCCAACCTGTATCTAGGACCTAACCAAAATTTGAGCTCCTTTTTTATTTGAGTTTTAGCAAGTATTTATTTTAATATAACAGGATAAAGTTTAGACAAGGTGTGGTGGATGGGGTGGGCAGGGCAGGGAGAAATATTTTCTGTTCCCCATGCAGAAAATGGGAGCAAAGACTCCAAATCTGAGCTCTTGAGCAAAGACCATCCAATAGTTAGCCTCACCCTTTTGATAAGTAACTTCATCACCAGATACATAGCCCACCACTTACAGTACTGCTGCCTTCTGGATACTGAAAACCCAGCCTCCAGGCTCTTTCATGGTCCTTTCCATCCAGTGGCCTGGGCAGTAAGAGGTAGGCTTTTAGCTAAGGTAGCTTGTTTATTCACAATAAATTCACAACTGTTTAAAAATGTTTAAAGTCACTCCCCCACCCCCCGTAGAGCAATAACTAAATGATGAAACCAGTTTTTCTTTCTTTTTCCAGAGCTGAGACTTCAGAATCCCCAGGGACTCCTTTCAATACTCAACAGAAACCTCCAACACCCTAGTGATGGCTCAAAGGGACTGTTTTCTTACCCTTAACCTAAATGACTGCCAAAAAGGAAGGCAAAGATAGAGCGGTTGGATCTCTTGCTTTCCTTGTAGTTTTAAATCGTGGACCTTATTAAGCCCCTTTCTGAGCCTCAGGACAAAGCTTGAACAAATGATTCAGAGTCATGAATGAAAAATCTTGCCCTTTACATAATGGGAAAGAATTAAGAGATGTACAGGTAAGCATTCCTATTTGGGGGAAAAAAAAGTGTTGGTTTGGGATATATTGTTAATGAAACAGAGAATATACTACAAGAATGTGGAGTTTTAGGGAAAACCCTTATTATAGCTATTTGTTCTATTAAAGGAGACTCTGGTGCCAGGTGTGAAGACACATACCTGTAATCCCAGAACTGCAGTGATAGAGACAGGAAGATCAAAGACCTACCTGGGCTATGTAGTGAGTTCAAGGCCAACTTGAGTACATAATGAGATCCTGTCTCAAATAAATACATACATACATACATACATGCATACAAAGACTGGGGATATACCTTAGTTACAAAGCACTTGCTAGCATGTGCAAGGTTTTCAGTGAGAGAGAGAGACAGAGACAGAGAGAGAGATTCTGTTCACTTGTAGGTCAAATGCCTTTCCTGATAGCTTTTTTCTAAGTGACTTACAGAATTTATTTATTTTGCTTGGGTTAACAGAGGTATTTCAATGAAGAATTTCTCAAGAAATCTATATTTTATCTATTTGGGTCATTTACCTTCCTGTCCTCTTCCCTGTCAAACACCTGCTTAGGTCCTTGGGATCCTTGATTCAGTGTAATGTATCTTTGTGTGAGTCTGGTAGTTAATATACATTCCGTACCTTCCACCCAACCTTGTCTATACAAGAATATTCTTCAACTGAGCATGTGGGATTTAGTGGCCAGAATGGAAACAAAACCTTTGCTTTGGGACTCCAGAAAGATTTTCCTCATTGTAGGAAAACCAGTGAACTTCCAGGGGGAAGTCTCTGAACACTGGAGGGGACTGAATTGCAGAGGGAAAGGATGAAACGAATCCTGGGTACTTGGACAACTGCAGGGGTGTTAGAGCCATGAATCACCAGATATTTTTGAGATAAAATTTCAATAAAAATTTGAGACAGATATTTTATGCCTTGTACTATGCTAATAGGTGTGGGAAACATGAAAGAAGTCAAGAGAAGCTCCCTATGTGGACCTTTTGCTCCATGCAAGGGCTGTAGGACTTAAAGAAGTGACATACCACCATTATAGCCTCAGGTGGTAAGATAGGCCACTTGAAGAGGTAGCGCCCACCCTGAAGGGACATAGACAAGTAGAGGGGTGACATATTCTGGTGGAAAGTCATGTGACCCAAGGGCTGGAGATGAGAGGAATTGCAGCAGATGTTTATTGGATTGCAGTGGGAATAATAGTGCCAGGCATGGGGAGGGCATTCATGGGGGAGTCTGGTCAGCTGTGCTATGTTTAGGCCTCCATTCTCGCTTCTGGGACCTAGAGAAATTAAAACTACATTTAAGGAGTGTTAGTTGATAAAAATAAGTAGGAGCATTACCAAACAGGCTAATGTGGGGTTCCAGAGTCTTGACATAAGCATTGCTTTCTTTATTATTTGTTTTCTTTTAATTACTGTTTCTCTTCATTTACTTTGAAGGAAATAATACATTCACGTGGTTCAAAATCTGAAAAGCACAGGATATACAGAGTATGTCCTTCAGTCACTCACTTTTTCTGCTGTAGGCCAAGTTACCACTTCCTTGGGTATAATTCTGGAAATAGTCATGCAGAGACAAGCACATATATTTATGTATTTTCAAAAAATACAGTGGTAAAATAATATATACTCTGTCCTTTGCTGTTTCCTTAATAGATCATGAAGACTGTGCTATAAAGTGTTTCTCACTTCTCCTTATAGTCATATAGTATCTTACTGAATGGATATACTTTTTTTTTTTAATTGCTCCATTACTGGGCATTTAACCAACATTTTTGCTATTGTAAATAGTACTACAGTGACTGGCACTGTGAATGTAAGCATGTCATTTTGCACATAGATGAGTATCTCTGTTAGATTAATTACAAGAATGCAAGTGCAGGCCTGAGATGTAAAAAATATAAATGATTTTGTTAGGTATCGTCAAGTGATGCAAGTGATGGAAGCAGCTTACTCTCCCGCGTCTTGTAACCCATGGCACTAACCCACATAGCATATTATCATGCTTGTTGAACTTTGATAATCTGACAACTGAAATATCTCAGAGTAGTTTCATTTGGCCTTTCTTTCATGAGCAAGGTTGAGCATTGGTTCAAATGTTTAAGCGTGATACATGTGCTGGGCACTGGTGGCTCACTCCTGTAATCCTAGCTACTCAGGAGGCAGAGATCAGAGGATTGCGGTTCGAAGCCAGCCTGGGCAAATAGTTACGTGGGATTGCAGTTCCAAGCCAGCCTGGGCAAATAGTTCCGTGAGACCCTTCACAAAGAAGGGTCGGTGGAGTGGTTCAGGGTGTAGGCCCTGAGTTTAAGCCCCAGTACCACACACAAAAAAAAGAGTGATACATGTTTTCTTTTATGTAAATTGTCCATTTCCTTTACCCATTTTTAGAGAAAGACCAGGGTAAACTGCCTCACTGAACTTCACTTACAGTTCTGAGACCTTTAACAAGAGTTAAGAAATCTGTACAAGATTTTTTTTTTTTTTTTTTGCAAACTGGGGTTTGAACTCAGGGCCTCATACTTGCTAAGCAGGCACTCTACTGCTTGAGCCACTCTGACAGCCCTTTTTTTGTTTGGTATTTTCAAGACAGAGCCTTGAGAACTATTTGCCCTCGCTGGCTTTGAACTTTGATCCTCCTGATATCTGTCTCCTGAGTAACTAAGATCACAGGTGTGAGCCACTGGTATCTGGCCCCAGTTTTTCTTAAGAACATATTAAACAGACATTTTTCTTCTCTATTGTTTGTTTTTGTGGTACTAGGGATTGAACCCAGGGTCCGGAGCAGAGGTCTTCCTTTATAGTGTTTCTTGTAGCTGATTTCTCTGGAGTTCATTTTGAGTGTGTGATTCTGAGAAAAGGTACAATATTTAAACTGTGGTCTTTGGGGATTAAGGTATGCTGCAAGATTGTCTTACAGGGTGAAAGAGTATCTGCTGGGTATTCTCTGCCATATGATGAGGACAACAGTGCTCTTGCAGCTTTCAGAGGAATTCCTGTACATATCACCCACACTTCAGTGCCTCCTGCCAATACAAGCTTTTGTTGTGTTTACATGCTGCTTTGTGGTGCAAGACCTTGCGCTAGGCATTGGGGAGACAAGGAGGACATAGACCCTTCTGCCAGACACTCACACTTTGAGGAAGGAGCTGCACAAACATACCGTATAACCTCTAGCCAGTTAGATCATTGCCATAATGAAAGAGTGTAAAATGCAGTGGATATGCCAACAGCACACCACCATCTCCAATGACTTGTGTGCATTTTTATTTACTATTCAAGCAGGGTATACCACTTGTCCCCCACTTTGCCCAACTTCTACATCACAGTAGACGTTTTCTAGGTACCTCACTTTAAGGCTGATTTTAGGCCATGCATGGTAGCTTCTGCCTGTAATCCCAGTACTTAGGAGGGTGAGGCAGGAGGATTGAGAGTTCAAAGCCTGCTTGGGCTACCCAGGAAGACCTTGTTTAAAAAATAAAAACAAACCAGAGCAGGGAGAGTTGGCTCATATCTATAATCCCAGCTCCTCCAAAGATGGAGATTACCATCCGAGGCCCACCTCAGGCAAAAACAGGAGATCCTATCTGAAAAACAACTAAAGCAAAATGTCTAGGTGCATGGCTCAATTGGTAGAGCACCAGGCTAGCAAGTGCAAAGCCCCGAGTTCAAACTGCAGTACCACCAAAACAAAACAAAAATCAAGATTGGCTTTAGAGGTGGGGTAGAGAGTATGCTTTAGCATGCACAAGGCACTGGTTTCCATCCCAGCACTCCCCCACCAAAAAAAGAGAGAAAAAACATTGACTCCAGTCAACCTGTCAGGGCAAACAAATCCTTCCATCTCCAATTTCTTTCTTTTTTTCCCCCTTTCGTGGCACTGGGACTTGAACTCAGGGCCTCTCACTTGCTAGGCAGGCACTGTTACCACTTGAGCCACTCCACTAGCCTCTGCCTCCAATTTCAAGGATATTCAGTACAGTGGGTGGGAAAGGCTTGTGTATGTTTGTGGGTGTGGGTGTTGGGAGGATTCCATCCTCACACTAAAGCTCTCCTGCCTCTGCAGATCTCAGAGTTGAAGAACCATGGTATACTCCAGGCCCTGACAACAGAAACTAGTGGATGGGAGCCAAGTGGTAAGGATCCCTTTTGTCTTTTTGCTTTTACTTTCTTCTTTCATATAGGGTCTCTTGCTTACTTTGCTCAGATGGGGATCCTCCTATTCCCCCCTCCCAAGGAGCTTGGATTACAGGCATTCACCACCATGCTCAGCTGTGCCAGATTTTCTCTTTCTTTTTTTTTTTTTTTTGTGATACTGGGCTTGAACTCAGGGTTTAACCTTGAGCCACTCCACCAGCCCTTTTTTGTGAAGGGTTTTTTCCACATACAGTCTTGTGAAGTATTTGCCCTGGCTGGTTTCAAACCTTGATCCTCCTGATCTCTGCCTCCTGAGTAGCTAGGATTACAGGTGTGAGCCAACAGTGCCCGACAATACCAGATATTTTTAATCATTAAATAATTATATATTTTCAGATTGCTCTCGGCTAATTTAAATTAATAGACCATTTAAATTAGCAATACTCTTTGGTTTATGAGTAAATGGAAGAGAGGCAAAATAAAGGAAAAGCAATTAAATAGGAAAAAAGAAAAAGAACTATGCCAATGTGGGCTGCATTAATTATCCTAACGATGTATCCTTTACTATTTAAATTACTGATACATGTTGAATATCAAGTTGTTGTTTTAATAAAATATCAGCTAATGAAAATGCAGAAAAAGAAAAAGTATCATTTACCTCTGTGTTCTTCTGTTGGCCAGGGCAGATAGTCTTTATGGCAGGATCATCTTTAGAGGTGGGAGAGTCTGCCTGGTTCCCAGGGGATAGGAAAAGCTCCTCCACAGTAAACCCATCAAAATCACAGCAGACTTCTCAACAGAAACATTAAAAGCAAGAAGAGCATGGGGTGAGATCTTCTGGGCACTGAATGAAAATAACTTCAACCCCAGGATACTCTACCCAGCAAAGCTATCATTCAAAATAGATGGAGCAATAAAAGTCTTCCATGATAAGCAGAAACTAAAACAATATGTGACCACAAAGCCACCATTACAAAAGATTCTGCAAGGGATCCTGCACACAGAAAGTGACACCCAACATAACCATGAAAAGGCAGGCAGCACCAAACCACAGGATAAGAAAAAGCAAGACAGTAGAGAGTAACATCAAGTTAGGTACACACAATCAAACCTTCAAACAACTAAGACAACTAAATGGCAGGAATCACCACATACCTATCAGTACTAATGCTTAATGTTAATGGACTTAATTCACCCATCAAAAGACACCGTTTGACAAAATGGATTAAAAAAGAAGATCCAACAATTTGTTGCTTACAGGAGACTCATCTCACCGACAGAAATAAGCATATGCTTAGGATGAAAGGCTGGAAGAAGATTTACCAAGCCAATGGCCCCCGAAAACAAGCAGGAGTAGCAATACTTATCTCTGACAAAGTAGACTTCAAACCTACATTGATCAAATGAGATAAAGAAGGACATTCCATACTAATAAAAGGGGAAATAGACCAAAAGGAAATAATAATCATCAATCTGTATGCACCCAATGTCAACGCACCCAATTTCATCAAACATACCCTGAAAGACCTAAAAGCATATATAAACGCCAACACAGTGGTTGTGGGAGACTTTAACACTCCATTATCATCAATAGATAGGTCATCCAAACAAAAATCAATAAAGAAATCCAAGATCTAAAATATGCAATAGATCAAAGTGGACCTAGTAGATGTCTACAGAACATTTCATCCAACTCTACACAATATACATTCTTCTCAGCAGCCCATGGAACCTTCTCCAAAATAGATCATATCCTAGGGCACAAAGCAAGCCTCAGCAAATATAAGAAAATAGAAATTATACCATGCATACTATCTGACACAATGCAGTAAAAGTAGAACTCAACAACAAAAGTAAAGACAAAAAACATGCAAACAGCTGGAAACTAAATAACTCATTACTTAATGAAGATGGATCATCGATGAAATAAAAGAGGAAATTAAAAAGTTCCTGGAAGTCAATGAAAATGAAAACACAACCTACCGGAACCTATGGGACACAGCTAAGGCAGTCTTGAGAGGAAAGTTTATAGCCATGAGTGCATATATTAAAAAGATTGAAAGATCCCAAATCAATGACCTAATGATACATCTCAAACTCCTAGAAAAACAAGAACAAGCAAATCCCAAAACAAATAGAAGGAGAGAAATAATAAAAATAAGAGCTGAAATCAACGAAATAGAAACCAAAAAAACCATACAAAGAATTAATGAAACAAAAAGTTGGTTCTTTGAAAAAATAAACAAGATCGATAGACCCCTGGCAAACCTGACTAAAATGAGGAGAGAAAAAACCCAAATTAGTAGAATCAGGAATGCAAAAGGGGAGATAACAACAAACACCATGGAAGTCCAGGAAATCATCAGAGACTACTTTGAGAACCTATATTCAAATAAATTTGAAAATCTTAAAGAAATGGACAGATTTCTAGATACATATGATCATCCAAAACTGAACCAAGAGGAAATTAATCACCTGAATAGACCTATAACACAAAATGAAATTGAAGCAGCAATCAAGAGTCTCCCCAAAAAGAAAAGTCCAGGACCTGATGGATTCTCTGCTGAATTCTATCAGACCTTTAAAGAAGAACTGATACCAACCCTCCTTAAACTGTTCCATGAAATAGAAAGGGAAGGAAAACTGCCAAACACATTTTATGAAGCCAGTATTACACTTATCCCAAAACCAGGCAAAGACACCTCCAAAAAGGAGAACTATAGGCCAATCTCCTTAATGAACATTGATGCAAAAATCCTCAACAAAATAATGGCAAACCGAATTCAAGCAACACATCAAAAAGATTATTCACCACGACCAAGTAGGCTTCATCCCAGGGATGCAGGGGTGGTTCAACATACGAAAATCAATAAACGTAATAAACCACATTAACAGAAGCAAAGACAAAAACCACTTGATCATCTCAATAGATGCAGAAAAAGCCTTTGATAAGATCCAACATCATTTCATGATAAAAGCTCTAAGAAAACTAGGAATAGAAGGAAAGTTCCTCAACATTATAAAAGCTATATATGACAAACCTACAGCCAGCATTATACTTAACGGAGAAAAACTGAAACCATTCCCTCTAAAATCAGGAACCAGACAAGGATGCCCACTATCTCCACTCCTATTCAACATAGTACTGGAATTCCTAGCCAGAGCAATTAGGCAAGAAGAAGGAATAAAAGGAATACAAATAGGTAAAGAAACTGTCAAAATATCCCTATTTGCAGACGACATGATCCTATACCTTAAAGACCCAAAAAACTCTACTCAGAAGCTTCTAGACATCATCAATAGCTATAGCAAGGTAGCAGGATATAAAATCAACATAGAAAAATCATTAGCATTTCTATACACTAACAATGAGCAAACGGAAAAAGAATGTATGAAAACAATTCCATTTACAATAGCCTCAAAAAAATCAAATACCTAGGTGTAAACCTAACAAAAGATGTGAAAGACCTCTACAAGGAAAACTATACACTTCTGAAGAAAGAGATTGAGGAAGACTATAGAAAGTGGAGAGATCTCCCATGCTCATGGATTGGTAGAATCAACATAGTAAAAATGTCGATACTCCCAAAGTAATCTACATGTTTAATGCAATTCCCATCAAAATTCCAATGACATTCATTAAAGAGATTGAAAAATCTACTGTGAAATTTATATGGAAACACAAGAGGCCACGAATAGCCAAGGCAATACTCAGTCAAAAGAACAATGCAGGAGGTATCACAATACCTGACTTCAAACTATATTACAAAGCAATAACAATAAAAACAGCATGGTACTGGCACAAAAACAGACATGAAGACCAGTGGAACAGAATAGAGGACCAGATATGAAGCCACACAACTATAGCAACTTATCTTTGACAAAGGAGCTAAAAATATACGATGGAGAAATAGCAGCCTCTTCAACAAAAACTGCTGGGAAAACTGGTTAGCAGTCTGCAAAAAACTGAAACTAGATCCATGTATATCACCCTATACCAAGATTAACTCAAAATGGATCAAGGATCTTAATATCAGACCCCAAACTCTTAAGTTGATACAAGAAAGAGTAGGAAATACTCTGGAGTTAGTAGGTATAGGTAAGAACTTTCTCAATGAAACCCCAGCAGCACAGCAACTAAGAGATAGCATAGATAAATGGGACCTCATAAAACTAAAAAGCTTCTGTTCATCAAAAGAAATGGTCTCTAAACTGAAGAGAACACCCACAGAGTGGGAGAAAATATTTGCCAATATACATCAGACAAAGGACTGATAACCAGAATATACAGGGAACTTAAAAAACTAAATTCTCCCAAAACTAATGAACCAATAAAGAAATGGGCAGTGAACTAAACAGAACTTTCTCAAAAGAAGAAATTCAAATGGCCAGAAAACACATGAAAAAATGCTCACCATCTCTAGCAATAAAGGAAATGCAAATTAAAACCACTAAGATTCCACCTCACCCCTGTTAGAATAGCCATCATCAGCAACACCACCACAACAGGTGTTGGCGAGGATGCGGGGAAAAAGGAACCCTCTTACACTGTTGGTGGGAATGTAGACTAGTACAACCACTCTGGAAAAAAATTTGGAGGCTACTTAAAAAGCTGACATCGATCTACCATTTGATCCAGCAATACCACTCTTGGGATATACCCAAAAGACTGTGTTACTCCAGAGGCACCTGCACACCCATGTTTATTGCGCACTATTCACAATAGCCAAGTTATGGAAACAGCCAAGATGCCCCACACTGACGAATGGATTAAGAAAATGTGGTATCTATACACAATGGAATTTTATGCAGCCATGAAGAAGAACGAAATGTTATCATTCGCTGGTAAATGGATGGAATTGGAGAACATCATTCTGAGTGAGGTTAGCCTGGCCCAAAAGACCAAAAATCGTATGTTCTCCCTCATATGTGGACATTAGATCAAGGGCAAACACAACAAGGGGATTGGACTTTGAGCACATGATAAAAGCGAGAGCACAAGGGAGGGGTGAGGATAGGTAAGACACCTAAAAAACTAGCTAGCATTTGTTGCCCTTAACGCAGAGAAACTAAAGCAGATACCTTAAAGCAACTGAGGCCAATAGGAAAAGGGGACCAGGAACTAGAGAAAAGGTTAGATCAAAAAGAATTAACCTAGAAGGTAACACACACTCACAGGAAATCAATGTGAGTCAATGCCCTGTATAGCTATCCTTATCTCAACCAGCAAAACCCCTTGTTCCTTCCTATTATTGCTTATACTCTCTCTACAACAAAATTAGAGATAAGGGCAAAATAGTTTCTGCTGGGTATTGGGGGGGGGGAGCGGGAGGGGGTGGAGTGGGTGGTAAGGGAGAGGGTGGGGGCAGGGGGGAGAAATGAACCAAGCCTTGTATACACATATGAATAATAAAAGAAAAATGAAAAAAAAAAAAAAAGCTCCTCCACAGTTTGGACAGTTATCTCCAGATTTTAAGTACCAGTTTGATATTGCTAGCTGGAACCTTGAACTTCTGTTGACTAACTTGTTATAGCCAATTCCCACCCCTGCTGCTCCTTGCTCACAGACTTTGATCAAATTGTTTATAGGTGAGGGTGTACAATGGTGAAAGATTGATTTGATTGCTTGTAGCTTATGATATGAAGGGCGAAGAAACAATAAAGTGAGGAGTGAAGCATTACTTGTGGGTGTTCCATGCTTTCCTTTTTGGTCAGTCACTTTTTTTTCTGGTGATACTGGGGGTTGAACTTGCTAAGCAGGTGCTTTACCACTTAAGCCATACCTCCAGTCCTTTTTGCTTTAGTTATTTTTCAGGTAGGATCTCAAGTTTTTGTCTGACCTGGACTGCTATCTTTCTGTTTACACCTCCTGAGTAGTTGAGATGACAGGAATGTACACTTTGCTTATTGGCTGACATGGGTCTTGCCCAGACATGCCTCAAACTGAGATCTGATCTTTACCTCCTGAGTAGAGATCATGCTGGGATCATGATCAATTCATGCTGGGATTACAAGTGTGAACCACTGTGCCCAGCCAAAAGCTTTTTTTTTTTTTTTTTTGCAGTGCTGGGGCTGGAGCCCAGGGCCCTGGGCATGCTCAGCAAGTGCTCTGTGGCTGGCTGCATCCTCAGCTGCCCTCATCTTTATCTCCCAGTGTCTTGAACGCTAAAGGTGAATTTTGTTTTCTTGATCAACCAAGGTCCCATATTCTGTTGAAGTTGTCTAGTTTGGAAGGCTTAAGGCTCAAGGTCTGCTAACCCAGGCTGGATGTGGCAAGATGGAAATTCCTAGAGGTCCAGACATTTAGGACCCTGCTGCCACTGTCCACTGACCCAGGGTTGGGTCAATATTAACAGCTAACATTGAACACTTACCTTCGGGCTCCATACTTTCCTAAGAAGTTGGAGAATTTCCTCATCCCTACAACGAGCTCATGAGGGATTATAGATGACTAAGTAACTGGTCCAAAGAATTACAGTTAATAAGCAGCAGAGCAAACCCTTTACCTTCAGTTTGGCTCTTGACTGTGCTTTCAGCAACTCTCCTATACTGCTTCCCAGCCGCTGCTTTTTTGGTGAGACTGGGGTATGAACTCAGGCCTTCTTGCTTGCAAAGCAGGCATGCTATAGCTTGAGCCATACTTCCACTCCCCCAGCTACTTTCTCTTCCTCATTTGCTGTTAGTGTTTGGTAGCATTTTATTTAATCTGCAAGCATATTCTCTGTCAGTCCATTTTTCATTACTATAACAAAATCCCTGAGGCTGAGTGGCTTTATTTTAAAAAGAGCTTTGTTTAGGCTCACAGTTCAGTTTTTTGGGTTTTTTTTTTTTTATTGTTGTACTAGGGGTACATGGTGGCATTTACAAAAGTTTTTACTATATTTATCATAGTTGAATTCACCCCCTCCATCACTCCATCATTCTCCCTTATCTCTTCCTCCTCCCATTCCTGGAATAGTTTCAACAGGTCTCGTTTTTCCATTTATATACATGTGTATATATTTCCACCATATTCACCCTCCTACACCCTTTCCTTGTGTCCTCCCCCCTCCCACTAATACCCATTCCCCCAGACAGGGCCTGTTTTACCTTCAGTTTTAAGGTTTTAAGGTTGAGGGGCTGCATCTGGTGATGGCCTTTTTTGCTGGCAGAATTCTGTGTTAGTGTAAGGCATCATATGACAAGAGACAGGGAGTATGCATGTATGTCCCCTCTAGTTGCACTCTTTGCTCTTCTTTTCTTTTTGCAGTAGTGGGTTTTAACTCAGGACCTTGTGCTTTATAGGCAGGTACCCTATCTATTGAGCACCACCCCAGCTCTGTCTCTTCTTATTAAGTCACTGTATTCAATCATAAGGGCTCCACCCTAATAACTTTATCTAATTCTACCAGCCTCCCAAAGGCTACCCTGAAGCACCATAGTCAGATGTTTCTACCATCTTCATAATTCACAAAGGGTATTAAATTTCACACAGGAAACCTTGGTGACACACCCAACCCGCATCCAAACCACAGCTCTCTCCAGATAACTTCTTGTCATTTGACTTCCTTGGTCAAGATCATGAGGTAGAAACCAGTTGTCCTAGCCTACTTTAAAAGCTGTGGCCGGAAAGATCCTTATTTCTGGTAGTGAAGACTTCATCTTACACACTGTTGATGTCTTATATAGTGAAATGGAAATGCCAGTGACAAAGATGCCACTGGTGATTTGGTCTGGGTAGTGACTGCTGTGGTTTGGGGAAAAGGGCTGTATGGTGGCTAGAGAGCCTGTCCTCCTGCTTTTTTTTTCTCCTGTATCTCCCTTGTGCTGCACATGCATTCATCACACATTCTCTGAGCACCTGTCGCCAGGCACTATGCTAGGCTGTGGGGAGCCCTGCCCTTGTGTGGCTCACTGTAGTGAGAGAGAATTTCACCACTCCCATAAGCACTGGGCATCGGCACCTTGCAGAGCCATGGCTCCTAATCCAGATGGGTGAACTAACTGAAGGGTAAGAACAGCAGCAAGGGTTGGAACTGAGAGTCCTGGGGTCCTGCACAGAGGATGAGCAGGGACAGAGCAGAGTACTTTGAGGACTTCAGTAGCTCTCAGAGCAGAGGTAGAGCGGTAAAAAGGATAAAGACTGAGAAGGGACTTAGGTGCTGTGCTGTAAAATATTCTCTCTTGAGGATTATAGAGAACCCCTAGAGGGTTTGGAAAAGCAAATGGTGACATCCGATCTGCCTTTTCAAAAGCTCACTCTAGCCACAATGTGAGTAGAGGGGTAGGACAATTTCAAGGCCTGAGGCAAGCAGACAGGGCTGGAGTCTGCAATAGTGGGTCCAGACAGACCTGAATCTCCTTTCCCCCTGTTGCAGTTGTGAGTGAAGAGGTGCTCAGAGCCCAAGAAGAATGGGAAGCTGTGGACACCATCCAGCCAGACACAGGTAACCACAGGAATGGTGCTGTCTGGACACAGCACAGCTGCTAGCAAAGCCTCCATCCACACATATGGCTCATCCATCTGTGACTCTGGCATCAGGAGACAGAATTCCCAAGCGTTCTCATTTTTAGCTACATGACATAGGAAAAAGTCTCTCCCAAGTCCAAAAATGATGACATCCTACCTCCGGAGGAAACAGGAATGAACACTCAGGGAAAGGGTTGCTATGCCTGTCCATCTTCCAGGGAAGACATCCAGCCTTTGCAGGATGATAGGATGGACAAAAGGATGAAGGCAGGCAGCCAGGGCTCCCGCATAAGGCGGGGGCTATAGTAATCTGCTGGAAGTCTCTGGAGTCTGGGTAAAACTTGTGTCAAGTCCCTTTCTGAGAGTTTTGGATAGAGCTATTGGAGGGTGGAACTAGGACCTGGATCTAGCCTGAGTCCCACTGAGGCCTGGAGACATGTTACAGTGAATGCTATCAACCATCACTGGTCATTTCGATGATAATTCCCTATAGAATATAACAAGGGGTAGGGTGGCAGGCCCTCTGCAGTGTGTAGAAGGGCCACAGTAGAAATTAAGAAAGGCCCTAAGCAAACCAGTGACATGCTCCTGTATGGGTACCTACTTCAGGCAGTGACTTGTTCCCTAGGAGATGAGTGGTATTTAAGGAGCTTCTTACAGAGCAGATCTGTCCCTCTTCTTTGCAGAGATCAGCTAGCAAGACTGGAAGTCTAGTCCAAAAAGGGAACCAGCCTGGCAGATAATACCAGCTCCTTACAAAAGGGTTGGTTGTAGCTATTAGTAGCTGATGTTCAGTTGGAAGCCAGTGCTTGGCTTAGAGGTGATAACCCTCGGTGAATGTTTGCTGACAGAATGACGACTGTTATAAATCTTCAGGTATCTTCCATTATGCCCCAGGAAGCCGGGCCAGTACAGACCAGCCTGGGCAGCTCATCTCTTTTGGTGAGGCCCTGCAGCATTTCCAGACTGTAGACCTCTCCTCCTTCAAGGTATGGCAGTAGGAGGGTTTGGTTCTCCAGCAAGTTCCTTCTTCCCAGAAGCCAGGTTTTCATCTTGCCAGGATAGGGAACTGGGTAAGCAAAATAGAAACTTGAGAACCCTGTATCACCTAAGAAATCTTCAGGTACAGTAGCTAAGGACCCATGTTTCATGCAGGTCCTGATAGCCTTTGTGGCTACAATCCCTCCTTGGGAGGCAAGGAAAACTGGTCAGGGAGCTGAGTAATTTGTGGCCAATGGAGGAGGAAAATTCCCAGAAGGAGCTAGGAGCTATTCAGGAATTTAAGAAAAATATAGGGTTGGAAATAAAGGATTATTTAGGGGAATAAAAGCTGGGAAGCTCTCTGGGATGTCTTGAATGACTAGTAATACATTTAGAGGAATGTAATTTCAAATCTAAATCCTGGCTTAGGAGAGAGAGGCTAAAGAGACAGAAATCAAGTTGGTTAATAACATCTAGAAAGCCAGAAGCTACCAAAATCAGAATACTCTTTTTTTTTCCCCCTGTGCAGCCTACTTCAGTGCCAGCAGCCTTCAGACAAAGGCCAGGCAATGGTTCAGAGCCATAGTTTGTTCTGTCCTCTCATGGGACACTATGAGAGGACCAGGCAAAATCAGAATATAGTAAGGCTGGCAGTAGTGGCTCTGACCATGAGAAGCCGGCATGACCTAGTTGAAGAAGTACTGGTCATGAACAGAAGGTTCTAGCTGCCTCTCAGAGGAATCCAATTCCAGTGAATCCCACTAAACTCCCCTCCCACCAACCCTTTCATCCTAGAAGGTGAGAGGGATGTTAGATTTTGTAATTCATGTCCCTAGAGAAACAGAGTGAAGATGACCCCATGGGGATCATCTGTAGCCTCCCTGGGAATCCATGGAATAGTCAATTCTGGAAAAACCCAAGGCAACACAGAGGACTAGCTGGTAATGCCTACACTGGGGACATCTTTCTCCTTGCAAAGAAGTGGGAACTTCAAGAGTCTCTGGAGTTTCAGCAAGGGCCTCATAGCTTCTGCCCCCTTTCTCTGGCCCAAAGGCCAACCACCTAGTTGGGAGGAGCTAAGTGATCTGAGGCTACTAAAAGTTCATTGAGGCAGGGGAAGCCAGCACCCTGCACATTGCTTGCACCTTCTTCCCCAGAAAAGAATCCAGCCAACTATTCGAAGGACTGGGCTCGCCGCCCTCCGGCACTGCCTCTTCGGGCCTCCAAAGCTCCACCAGGGCCTTCGGGAAGAAAGGGACCTGGTCCTGACCATTGCTCAGTGTGAGTGCATGAGGGTAGCCACAAGACAGACGCTGTCAGCCACATGGTGGCTGAGACTAATTCAGGGCTCCGTATATACCATGTTGGTGGGCAAGAATGGGAGCTGAGAAAAGGTTGTCTTGAGCAAATCCAGATGTACTGTTCTCTGAGAAGCACCCAGTCCTCCTCTGAGGGGCAATATAGCAGAGTGTTGGTGTGTTTTGGGACAGGTGGCTTGGATAGCCAAGACCCAATGCATGGCCGAGTCCTCCAGACCATCTACAGGAAGTTGACTGGCTCCAAGTTTGACTGCGCCCTCCTTGGAGACCACTGGGAAGACCTGGGATTCCAGGGTAAGAGGGGTAACAGTTCATCTTCCTCTCCTTGCCCCTGATTCAGGCCCAGAGTGAGAGGCCAGTTTGTTCTCTCCCAGCCAGACCAGCAGGAGAAAACCGATTTTCTTACCTTTTCCAGTTTCCAGAGGCCTCCTGCATCTCTCCATCTGCAAACTCAGAAACAGCATCTCTGAACCTGATCCACCCTCACATCTCTTTCTCTGACTCTGTGCTTCTGCCTCCCTCTTCTGCCTTCATGGACCCTTCTTATTACATTAAGCCCACCCAGATAACCCTAGCTAGTCTCCCTTTCTGATGATTGGAAACCTTAATTTTATCTGTAATCTTAAAATCCTTTGCCATGCAACAAATTCATAGATTCTAGGGACTGCGGTGTGATGTCTTTGGAAGTAGAGCATTATTTGGCCTGCCATAGCTGCTTTAAAATCTTTGTCAGATTAAAACTTCAACATCTGTGTTATCTCAGTATTGCTGTCAGTCCATTGTCTTTTCTTATTCAAATTGAGATTATCCTAGTTCTTGGTATAATACAGGATTTTCAATTAGATCATAGGCATTTTTTAGTATCCTATTATGCAACTCTGGATCTTATTTATATCTTCTATTTTATTTTTTGATGGGACTGGGGTTTGAACCCAAGGCTTTGCGCTTGCAAAGCAGGCACTCTACTGCTTGAGCCACACCTTCAGTCCATTTTTGCTCTAGTTATTTCGGAGATGGGGTCTTGCAGACTGTCTCCCTGGGCTGGCCTTGAGCCACAGTCCTCCTAATCTCAGCCTCCCTGGGAGCTAGAATTATAGGCATGAGCCACTGGTGCCTAGCTTATGTCTTCTATTTTAGTGGACCTCCTCTAATACTGTGCCAGCTGGGAAAGGAAGGACAGCACGTCATTGGGTGGAAGCCTAAGTATCCCATTTGCCCTCCATTGATACCACTGGCTGCAAGGAGTAGGGGTCCTTCATTACCATGGCCTCCACAGACGTTGCGAAGAGGATAAGGGTGCCCCTTGTCCAAGCTGCTACTTGACCTTCTCTGATGCCACCCTAGTGAAGCTAGGGTACCTTTTCAGTCACAGGTGAAAGTCTCGGCCCCCACTGTGCCTTTGCTGAAGAAGGCTAGGAATGAGGTCACGTGTTTCTCTGTGCTGTTGGACTGAAGTAGGGTGGATATCGTCTAAAGTGTTCTGTCTTGCTAGGCTGCCTACTTCCTGGCCCTTTGAGTAGAGAGAACAGACTTTTCTTTCTTTCTTTCTTTCTTTTTTTTTTTTTGACAGGGACTTGCTATATAGCTCAGGCTAGCCTTGACTTAGCAATCGTCCTGTCTTAGCCCCCTGAGTACTGGGATTACAAGTATGTGTCACAATGGCCAGTTTCTTGGGATTTTTTTTAATCTGTTCTGTCTTAGTCTGTTTTCTGTTGCTATAACAAAATAACCTAAAACTGAGCAACTTCTAAAAATAGAACTTTGTTTGACTTCTGGTTCCGGAGGCTGGGAAGTCAAGAGCATGGTGCCAGCATCTGGTCAAAAGAAGGTTGGCAGAGTGTTAAGAGTAGAGTGCTTACCTGCCAAGTGTAGGGCCCTGAGTTCAAACCCCAGTGGTACAAAAAAAGAAAAGAAAGAAAGATAAAAGAACATGTGGAGGGCACATGGTGAGACAGCAAGCTTGTGCCATAGGTCTGTCTTCCTCTTCTTATGAGGCCACCAGTCCCATCATGGAGACCCCACCCTGAACACCTCATCTAATCCTAACTACCTCCCAAAGACCCCACCTCCAAATGCCATTAACATAGGAATTTGGGGGTTGTTTCTAGCACATGAAATTTGGGGAACACATTCAAACCATAGCATTGCTCCCATTGGTGTTGCTGGATTGTTGCCTTCTCTTGTACTCAGTTAGGATATATTAGGAAAAAAAGCCGGAAACTTGCCATTGTCATTTCTCAGCTCTCAAGGCCCCTAGGTGAGGCTGTCTTCTCTCTGCCCTTCAGAGGCTGTACACAGTGGGAAGAATAGGGAGAAGAGCATACTTCTTCTTGTCCTGGAACCAGAAGTTTGGCCTTCTTTTGGTAAAGGATCATACTGGTTGTTGTGTGGGGAGACTCAGGGCTGTGGGAGCAGGGAGAAAACTGCTGCTGAAGGTGGCCCCTGGGTGGTGGCTTGTTTGGTCCGATAGAGCCGGTCACAGTAGTGTGGCAGAAGTAGACCTGCACTTCTCATGCTCTTCTTGCCCAGCAAAGAGGACCGGTGTTAGGTCAGCTTCCCAAACCAAGTCCCAGAAACTCAAGGGAGCAGGATTTCATTAAGCCTGGCTCACTGTCACACACTGTTTGCTCATGATTTCTGTTACAGGAGCAAATCCAGCCACAGACCTGAGAGGGGCTGGTTTCCTTGCCCTACTGCATCTGCTGTACCTGGTGATGGACTCAAAGACTTTACTGATGGCCCAGGAGATTTTCCGCCTGTCTCATCACCATATCCAGGTGGGGCTTAGGTGGGAAGCTGGGTTGAGGGCTGTGGAGCCAGGACCTGAGCAGGCAAGAAGACCTCATAGGTCACTGTCTCTTGTTGCCGAGGGCTCACAGCATGGTGGAGGCAAACTAGGGATGGACTTCCCCTGTCCATCTGACCTGCTCTGGAATCTAAGCTCCACTACTCCTTTGCTGTGGGCCTCAAGCAAGTTCCTCAACAATTCAGGGCCTTGATTTCCTCATGTGCAGAATGGAAATCATGGAGAATTTAGCTGGCTCATTGGAAAAATTAAATGGCTAATGTACAGAACAGTAGGCACACAGCAAGGTGCTGCTTCAACTCTCTGCCCCCTCAAGGAATCCTTGCACAGTGTTGGTAGCTTCTCCTGACCCTCAAGGAGGAGAATTAGCTTTCAGACGATCCATGGATTTACTAATGGGCCAGTAGTGGCTTCAGCAGCCTATCAGTCTCCACCAAACCTGTCTTCTGGGGACAGAGTCAGTGGTTTTCCCAAGAGGTAAGAGGTGGCATTCCCTCCATTGTAGAAAACAAACCTGACCTATTTCCTTTCATTTGTCTCTCCCAGATTCATGGGACCTAGAAATCATCCACTTACTGAATATAGAATTGCTCAACATCCCCTGTGCTGGCTGTTTCTTGTGGTAGTTAGGATATATCAGTGAACAACACAAACTGAGATCCTTCTAGCAGAAACAATAATCTTAATTGTCCAAATAAATTACAGAGTATATTAAAGGGTGATAAGTGCTAAGGCAAAGGACAAGTGGGGTAGAGTTAGGAGAATAGGAGGAGGGGTTTCAGGACTTTCTGAGAAGTTAGGGCAGCTCTCATAAGAGGGTGAGACTTAAATCAATTCTTGAAGGCGGTGGCATGTTAGCCAAGCTGATGTCTAGGGGAAGAACATTCCAGGCAGAGGGAGCAGCTGTGCAAAGGTCCCAAGAAGGGAGTGTGTATGGCAAGGAACCCAGCAGTAGTAGAAGGAATGAAGGAGGAAAGGAGGCCATGGAGGTGGCGAGCAAGATGGCAGAAAGCTTTGTCGGCTATCAGAAGGACTGTAGGTTTACCCTGAGTCAAATCAGGAGCCACTGAAGGGTTTTGAGCAGGAAAATGATATGATCCAAATTACGTGAATCTTATTAGCTACTAGGTTAAGAGTAGTTTCTAAGGAGGGCCTTCATAATAAGCCAAGTTAGAGGTGATAGTGGCTTGGACCAGGGTGTTTTCAGACATGATGCAAAGTGATCACATTCTGAATGTAGAATCCCCAGTGTGTGGCTTCGAGAGAGTAGAGCCAGCATGTTTTTCTGATAATTGTACATAAGTTTAGGACAACGAAAGGAGTCAATGATAAATTTTTAGTCTGAGCAACTGGAAAGAAATACCACCAATTAAAAAGAAAGAGAAAGTTTGGGGGTTCAGTTTTGCCATATGTATTTTAAGAGGTCTGTCAGACTTCCAAGTGGTGATACTGATAAGCAACTAGATTTGTAAGTATGGAATTAGGGAGAAAGTTCTGAGCTCAAGATTAGAATTGGGGAATTGTCAGCACATAGATCGGTGGCTGATCTGACTATCCCTGGGCCAGCAGCATCAACATCACCTGGGAACTTGTTAAAAATGCACATTCTGAGACAGATGTGGTAGCACACTCCTGTAATCCCAGCACTTGAGTGTCTGAGGCAGGAGTTTTTTGTTTTTTGTTTTTTTGGTGGCACTGTGGTTTGAACTCAGGACTTCATGCTTGCTCAGCAGGCACTCTACCACTTGATACACTCCACCATCTCCCATGCAGTAGGTTTTTGAATTCAAGACCAGCCTGGGCTATTTACCAAGATCCTGTCTCAAAGAAAAGAAAAAACAAAAGCATTTTATAGGGCCCCTTTCCAGACCCCATGAATCAGAAACTCAGTGGGGCCCGAAATCCTGTGCTGTGATACAGCCTTTAAGGGATTCTGAGAACCCTGCAAGGGATTGTGAGAACCAGTCATGAAACTGTAGTGAGAGCCTGGGGAATGAGTATAGTCTGAGCTGCTGCAGCACTAGGTGGGAGGAGATGAGGGGGAAGGAAAGCAAGAGGAGCCCAGAAGAGATCCGGGTTGGAAGGCATAGGAAGAAAGCATGCAGAGCAGGCCTTGACCACTGGGTCAGATGGCACTGAATGGTGAGAGGCTCAGGTGAGATGTATTCCAGGGCATCTCAACGGGAAGGTTTTCAGTGAGGATTAGGGACATCAGGCCTTGGTTTAGATTGGGGTTAAGAGGGAATGGGAAGATGCTATCACATGAAAAATCAAAGCTGAAGGCAGCTAGGGAGGGGTGGGGAGAATGGTCTGAAAGCACAGCATATCTCCCCTCCTCCAGGCCCAGCAGTAGGAGGTCTGTGGGAGAAAAAGCCATCAGCACTTGACAGCACTGCCCGGAAACTGTCCTCAGCAGAGGACAGTTGAATATTTATTCATAAGGACATTTGTTGATAATGGCAGCATTTCTGTTACACCTCAGCATTACATAGTGAGTGCTACCATTGTGCTAGGAACACAGTGGCACAATTTTGGAAGTTGGGACAGGGTGAAAGATGGAGTCAAACCACCAGTTACAGATTTTATCAGCCTTGGATTGCAGTGCCTAGGAGTCGGGGGATGAGTCTAGAGACCACTTGAAGAGGTACAAAGAACAAAACGAGATTGGCCCTGACACATTTGAGATAAATAAATGGGAGCAATAAAGCTGAATGTTGGAACAAAAGAAAGGGTGTGTGTTTGAGAAGACTCTGCCTACACCCCTAGCCACTGGGTCACATTGTCTTACAAAGACATAGACTTTGCTCAGTGCACTTAAACTTTTTATTCTAAAGCAATTTTAGATTTATAGAATAGTTGCAAAAGTAGTTCAGCGAGCTCCCACATTTCATTCTCGCAGCTTTTCCAGTAATCTGGTGTGGCCATAGTAGTTATCAAAACTAAGAAATGATTAACTAAACTACACCCTTGATTCAGGTTTCATTGATTTTTCTCCTGTTAGTCTCCTGAACCTGATTCTCCTGTCTCCCTAGTCTCTTCCAACATGTAAATAGTTCTTCAGTTCTTCCTTGTCTTTCATGACTTTGATATGTTTGAGGAGGCTGCTCAGTTATTTTATAGAATGTCCCTCAGTTTGGGTTTGTCTGATGGTTTCCTAAATTTAGATTGAGGTTATGCATTTCAGGCAAGAACAGCATTGCAGAAGTGTCATAACCTTCTCGGGACCTCATACCAACGTGCCCATATTGTCCATGTCTTATTCCCAGTGATGTTAAACCTTGATCTCTTGGTTAAGTGGTTAAGATGGTGTTGGTTGGGTTCTCCTCTATGAACTATAAGGAAAGTTACTTTATCTATGCTCGTCCTGTTTATCCTCAAACTTTCACCCATTAACTTTTCTTTCTTTTTTTGTGAGGAAGCCTTGCTCTATTGCCAGGCTGGTCCCAAACTCCTAGGATCCTCCTGCCTTGGCCTCCTGAATAGCTGGGACAACAGGCGTCTGCCACCACACCCCGCTGCTAATTCCCTTGTTTCAACGTAGAACTTGCTGTCTAGCCTTTATGAGTCTCCAAAACACGGGTGCAGTCTGAGAGCAGAGTGACAGTCGGGGGACACAGCCCAACTAGCAACCACTCCTGTTCTCTCCTAAAAAGAGAGCTGAAGTTTTGGTACCTGCAGTGCCACCTACTAAAGAGAAGTTGGCCAAAACCTACAAGTGCTGGGAGACCTCAGACTCCGTGCATCCCAGCTGGGGGGAAGTGCTTCAGCCATGCTTTCCTGAGAAGCAGTGCAGCAGGACTGTCACACTGAGAGAGGCAGGGCATAGCAGGCTCCTTGCAGGGAGATAAGGAAGCACCTCATGATAATGAGTACTCACAGACAATGGTTTGTATAGCTTTTCAAGAAGTTTCCATACAGCATTTCATTCAGCCAACATGACAGAATGTGAGAGATAGGGCAGCCATGGTGCCTTTTCCAGCAGAGGAATGTGTGGATCAGAGAGCTAAATTGATTCTGCACAAAGCCAGAGCTCAAAAATGGTGGAGGGGCCTAGAGTCCACATGTGGTGGGCCCTATACACAGTGATTCCCAGCCAGCAGCTCACTCCAAAGTCATCTGGGGCAGGTGCAGCTGCCTCCCCACAACTCCCAAATTGGAATTTTCATGAGTGAGGACAGGTCAGCAGCAGCTGCAAAGATTCTCTGGTTTTCCTGCTTTGGTATTCAAAGATAGTTAAGTCAGGCATGGTAGTGCATACCTGTAATCCCAGTACTCAGGAGGTTTGAAGTAGCCTGGGCTACATAGTAAAGCCCTGTCTCAAAAAGCCATGGGCTGGGTTGTAAGCACTGGTGGTAAAGTGCTTACTTAGCATATGCAAGGTCCTGGGTTCAATTCCCAGCCCTGCAAAAAATAAATAAGTAAATAAAAATTAAGCCCAAAAGGGGCAGAGTGACCCAAGCGGTAAGAGGGCCTGCCTAGCAAACATGAAGCTCTGAGTTCAAACCTCAGTGTCACCAAAAAAAAATTAAGCCCAAAAGAAAGGCATGAAAACAAATAAAATTTTTTTTTTTTTTTGGTTCTGGGGATCAACCCAGGGCCTGTGCATGCTAGGCAAGCTTTCTACCACTGAGCTAACATGCCCAGCCTTTTTTTTTTTTTTTTTTCTTTTTCTATTTGAAGATAGGGTCTCACTAAGTTGCCCAGGCTGTCCTTGAACTTTTGATCCTCTTGCCTCATTCTTCCAAGTAGCAGGGATTACCGGTGTGTACCACCATGCTGAACTTGAAATTTTAGATGGAAACACAAAAATCACCAGGCCTCATTTTCTTTGATGTCTCTGAGTCCCTAAACACAGCCCTAGGCAGTATTTTAGCTCTAGGCAACACTTTTTAGGTCTAAGAAAAAGTGAAGGAAAGAGATCCTTCGGCAGTTTTATATATCTAAACTCTGACTTTTCCCTGCTTTTTTTCATAAGTGGGCTTTATAAGAATGTTCCCAAGAGTGGATGAACACTAGGTTTAGATTTTCTGAAATTATGTTGCTACCATATTCTTGTTCCCATATTTATTTTCAGGCTGAAAGAAATCAAGGGAAGCACTGCTGTCATGCAAGTATATATGATAATGAAATAGATAATGATTATGTATATTTGAGGGCATAAATTCGTTGCTGCTGACGTCAGTTACCCATCTTCCTCCTGCCCTATTGTACTAAAGTTTGAAGACAGGGCCTTGTGCTTGCTAGGCAGGCCTTCTGCCCCTTGAGTCACACCTCCAGCTACCCATCTTGTGGCAAGGATAATAATGGTGGGCATTTGCTTACATCTACTTGGGCCAGGGCCATGCTTAGTGTGGTGCGTATGTGATCTTAATGAATGCCCACAGCAATCTGTGAGGTGAATAGCGAGACAATAGCAATGTAAAATGTACATACTGAAACCTGTCTCGCAGAGTTTTTGTAATGATGAGTGTTTGAGTTCACCCAGAGCACTAGTGTTGGATCCGAAGACTAGCCCAGATGGGGTGATGTACTAGGAGGACTCGATCCTGTTTCAAAAAATAAGAAAAAAAGGCTGGTGGCCAGGTGTTGGTGACTGGTGGCTCACGCCTATAATCCTAGCTTGGGAGGCAGAGATCAGGAGAATCATGGTTTGAGGCCAGTACAGGCAAAAAAAGTGAAACCCTATCTCAAAAATACCCAAAACAATAAAAGGGTTGGTGGAGTGGCTCAAATGGTAGAGCGCGTGCCTAGCAAGCGTGAGGCTCTTGAGTTCAAACCCCAGTATCACAAAAAAGAAAAAGAAAAAAAAGTCCTTTCCCACAAGAATTACACAAGATGCACTGTATTCTTTCAGCATTGAATTGTGTGACTTGCATAAAGGTTGCCAGTGAGGGAAACTCATTGGAGATTTAGTGCCAGGATTTTTTGTTGTTGTTGGTACTAGAGTTTGAACTCAGAACCTCACACTTGCTAGGCAGTCACTCTACCACATCAGCCACTCTGTCGGCCCAAATCTGAGAATTGATTTTTTTGTTTTGTGACATTACTGGGGATTGAACTCAAGGCCTATACTTGCTAGGCAGTTACTCTGCCACTTGAGCCATCCCCCTACACCCCCAGAGTTTTTATTAGGATCTTGTCATGCTCTGCTCAGCACATACCAAAATTCCAGAATCACAGAGGGAAAGCAGGTCTTCAGCATAAACCTTGTTTACTCAAGCAGTTCAGAAAAAATGAGCCACCCTTATCAGTTAGAAAATGGTGGGAACCACCTCAAAATTCAATTCCCAGATACCAGCTATGGGCTAACTTGTAAGCAAGACTTTCTAAGGATAGCAGGGAAAAAAACTGTAGCAGCAGAAGACATTCTGCTGCCATATTAACTCTTTTCTCACAGCACTCAAACTTTATTTCCCTTTTGATTTTTTTTTTTTTTTTTTGTGGTACTGGGGCCTGAACTCAGGGCCTACTCCTTGAGCCACTCCACCAGCTCCCCCCTCCCCCTTTTTGTGATGGATTTTTGAGATAGGGTCTTGAGAACTATTTGCCCGGGCTGGCTTTGAACCGAGATCCTCCTGTTCTCTGCTTCCTGAGTAGCTAGGATTATAGGCGTGAGCCACCAGTGCCCAGCCCTCTTTTGATTTTGAGAGATGGGAAGTTTGAGTCTCAAAGCTGGTGACCTTTTCTAAGACACAAAGCTAGCAGCAACCATGCCAAGGTCTGGAATCCAGAAGTCATGGAAGACCCTGAGATGAGTCTCTGTGGAGTCAGAACTTTGTGCAGTGACAGATTCATTCTAAATCTGGAAATGTTCTGTCTGTTAGAAATGCACTGTCTGGGACAGTAGTCACGAGGCACATGTGACTACTGAGCTCTGCAAGTGAAATGTTCAGTAGAAACACAAAGATGCCCAGCTACAGCTAAGGAGGTGGATTTTTAGTTTAATTCTTAATTCATTTAAGCTTAAGTGGCTCCATGTCCTAGCCATGGGGATATGGGACAGGATAGCTCTATGTCGGATTGTAATGGAGTCTTCTCGTGTGAAGCAGGTGGTATAAATAGACTTCGGCTTTGTTCTACACAAAGCATGCCATGACCTACATGTCCCTCTCATTGGATGTCTTTGTGTATGTGCCACAGGGGAAAGCAACAGGTCACACCTGCAGGTTCCCCAGGAAAAGCTCCTTTCCATTTAGAAATTGTGCATGGCTGGTTTTATTGTCAGTAAATAATAGGAAGGAGTGTGCCCCTCTAAAAATAAAGCATTGAGGTGGGCCCCAGGGGGGTTCTCCCTCCGCATCCTCAGGTTCTTGGGCATTTGTGCTATCGTGAGGTGGAATGCAGCAGCAGGTCAAGGCTGCCTTTCTACCTATCTGGCATTTTCTTTGTCTGCTTTTGGATGAGGTGCTCACGAGCAGCCAGATAACTGCAGGCTGGAAGGCGAGCAGAAATTAAGAACCTGTAGAGTCTTAGAACTGAGCCGTATGCCCTGTGTTGAGCCCAGCCCCAGGGGTAATGTGGTCCATAAGCAGCAAGGAGCTGAAGGCCCAGAACAATAAGGGGTGGAGATGTTAAAGAAGGGGGTGGGGGGAGCTAACTCAGGGTCATGGATGCCAGCTGTGGAGCAAATAACCTCAGCCCTAGGAAAGCTACTTAAGGCCACTGAGCCTGAACTTCCTCCTCTGTAAGAGGGGAAGAAGCAAAAGCACTATCACCTACTGCCTCTGCACTGGGATCGCCTGCAGACCACACTAGACTGCCAATGAGAGAAAATACACAAGGCAAGAGCGGGGGTGGCCCCTGACCCACTGCTCGCCACCCATTCCAGCAATTCCCTTTCTGTTTGATGTCGGTGAACATCACTCGGATCGCCATCCAAGCCTTGAGGGAGGAGTGTCTCTCCAGGTAAGTCCCCAGCTACCAGTTTGTTAGAGTTACCCAGCATAGCCGGGCAGTTCACTCCAGCTTCATTCTCCACAACTCTCTCTCACCTGCTGGTGAGAGAGTCCCAGAGCACCTGTCTCCCTGGCCCAACTCTCCTTCCCCACCTGACCCAGATGCAAGGCTGCCTGGGGAAAAGTGAAGCCCTTCTGGATTTGGTCTGGCTCCCCTAGAGCACTGGGAAGGGAGGACAGGAGGGCACCAAGGTGTCAGCCTTCATCTGTGGTTGAGCAGGTCATCTCTCTTGTCCTATAGGGAGTGTAATCGGCAGCAAAGGGTCATCCCAGTGGTGAACAGCTTCTATGCTGCAACTTTCCTCCGCCTCGCACAGATCTGGAGGACACAGCAGAAAACCATCTTAGACTCAGGCTTTGTCCTCAAAGGTATGCTCTTTCTCCTGGGATGGCCAAGACCCCTGAATCCTCTGCCCCAGGGTCAGAGACTCCAGGATGGTTGTTAGACTGTTCTGGGCTGCATTTCACCCTTCTGGCCCCTATCCAGCCTACCCCCTGGAGCCTGCCAATTCTCCTTTCTCTACTACCATTTCCCTCCCTTTCTGGCCTTATACTTCTGATAATTATTTTCTGAATCAAAAACTTGAAGCTGGGATCCAGCAGTTGGATTGAGACTCTTCAGAGTTGAGATCAACCTAAACAAGGTAGAGTTTGGTCCCTGGGCTCTGTCTGGTTGCTCAGCCTCCTCTCTGATGGCTTCTCCATCCTAGGTCACTCTTCCACCTTTGTCTCCATAGGAGAGAGGTTGGAGTGCTCACTAGAGCTTGTGGGCTTCAGGTCCTGACTATGGGCCACCCAAACTCCTTAACCCTTCAGTTTCCCAATCTTCTCTGTTCCAGACTTGGAAGCATTGGCCAAGAAGAGCCCACGGCGACTACTCAAGACCCTGGAGATCTACCTGGCCCGGGTGTCAAAGGGACAGGCCTCCTTGTTGGGGCCACAGAAGTGCTCTGGGCCACAGGGTCCTCACTCAAAGGATCTCACCTTCATAGGTGTGTGTGACCTGCAGCCTCACCCAGCTCACCTCAGCTCAGGGTTGATCTGACCAACCTCAGAGATAGACTTGACAGCAGGACCACAGGGGCTTTCAGAATGTGTGGCAAGCTATGCCCTGAGCACCCTGGCTAGGAAGCACCTAGACCCGGATGGAGAGAACCAAGTATCCTCACCAGCATGGAACATTCTGGATGGCTACACTTGACCTCCTTCCTGTGGACCTACCTCTGAGCAAGGAGTGTCTTGCCTCATTCCCTGCGTGGGTCCAGTCCACAGGGTTGGATTCCAGGAATCTCACTGGGAGCAAATGGATCATGAGGTGGGACATCCCTATCTGAACATTCCCATAACCCCACACAGAAGTAGATTCCCAAGTAGAAGCAGCCAGAAGTCCAACTCCCTAACAGCAGTCAGGCCCAGGTGTCTGATAGAAATTTGATGGGGAAAAATAGCAATGGCTGCAGCCAGCAGGGGGCAGCACAACCTAGAGGAAGCCACTGACTTTGGCTGGGTGGGCCCTTGCCCCCAGCCATCATCAAAATCAGAGTCTTCTGGGCTTCCTGGTCTCACACTTCTCCAACCTTCTTCTCCCTCTCACCTCTTTCCTCCCTCTATTGATTACTATCTAGAAACGGGCTCTCAGCTAGACTAGGCTAGGTATCTCCGTGACTGCTCCATCCTAACCAAGCTGGAGCCGCCTCCTATGGAGGCTGTGCGCTTCCCTCGAGGATGGGTTTTCTGGCCTGGTTGAAGGAAGGATTCACTTACACACCAGCAGTTTTAGAATAAAGTCATTGTTCTAGTTTAAGAGTCTTCAGTGTTTTTCCAAGACAAGTGTTGCAGGGCCTTCTTGCAGCCCTATTGTCCAGGACTAGGTTGGGGGGAGGGGTTAGTGCTTTGGCCTCCACAGGAGGAAGAAGATGCCTGGCTGAAGTCCAGCTAAGTTCATAGGAGTTCATCCTCACTGTAGCTGCACTTGCAGGCCTGGAGACTCCTTGTGAGCCCTAGCCTGTGGACAAGGTGACCCTGGCTCATTAAGGTTGACTAATGTGGTGTCCATACGAGGTTTTTCCTACGTTTGCTTCTAGGCAAGCCTGGCTCTGTTGCTTCCCCTGAATACCAGACCGGGGCACCAGATCTAGGGCATGGGGGCAGGTGAGAGCCCTCCCTCAAGTGGAGCTATGGAAGACCATTGTCTAGCCCCTGCAGGCTTCTCCAGGCCTGACCCACTGGAGATAGGACCTCTCTCAGAGCTGGGGACAACAGATGTCCACCCAAGTATGGAAGGAATTCCCAGAATACTGTCAGCAGGATGCCTCCAGTGCAGCTGGTTACAAACCCTACATTTTGCCTTGTGTCATGTTTGCTGGATCTCAGCTAATGCTTTGTTCCCACAACTTCCTCCAGCCCCAGTCCTCAGCTGACCAGCAGAGATGGCAGGAAGGACACTGCCCACAATAGGTGCTGGAAGGCAGGCACAGTTGGAAGGCAGCTCAGGCTCCACTTTGTGGTTTTGGGGGTTGTTTATTTTTTAATGTTTCTCCCAATTTTTTTCTTTCTCCTTTTATTGCTTTTAGATTTACTTACATGTATATACATTGTTTATGCCATGTACCCCTCCCTTAACCCCCCTCCCCACCAGGCTCCACTCTGGAACAAGTGTCAGGTTGGATGGTTCCTTCCTGGCTGTCCTTTTGCTTGCTCTGAACCAGTGAGGCTAATTAAGCAGGCTGAGTGCACAGCCCCCAGCACATCAGGGACCAGGCCATTTGGATCCTGGGAGCCTCTGACTGACCAGGGCCCTTGCCCGTAAGAGAGGCAGCAGCCTTTCCTCCAGATCAGAGTGCTTCCAGCTCTAGGCCTCGGGAGAGACCAGATTTTTTTTTTTTTTTTTTTTTGGTGGCACTAGTTTTTGAACTGAAGGCCTTGTGCCTGCTAGGCAGGTGTGCCGCCACTTGAGCCATGCCACCAGCCCATCCAGGAATTTTTTTTTGGAGCGGGGACTGGGGTTTGAACTCAGGGCTTCCGCACTTCTAAATCAGGTGCTCTACTGCTTCCAGTCCATTTTGCGCTAGTTATTTTGGAGACGGAATCTCCTGGACTCTGCCTGTGTTGGCTTCAAACCATGAGTCTCCCTATCTCAGCCTCCCAAGTAGCTAGGATTACAGGTGTGAGCTGTCTGTGCCCAGTGCAGTTCTATCAATGGCCTGGTTTAGGGTGGGGATATGGACCCTCTGAAACTTATGAAAAAAATCTTAATTTTTTTTTTTTTCTTGGGAAAAAGCCTAGGCCTTCCATGGGAGACTTAAAATACTCCATAAATCTAAAACTGTCAGAACTACTGATTTGGGTGTACCCTTTACCATCTCCCCTCTTAAAAACCATCCTAGGCACAAGCTCCTGTGCAGATTGTCAGGCAAAGGCTGGGTCTGTGGAGAGGACAGGAAGGGGAGCTCATTTCTCTCTGCTTCTTGGCACAAAACCAGCAAGATGAACTTGATTGGACTTTTTGGGTTTTGTGGGGGACAGAAGAATCCAGTGTCGGAAGCCACAGTAGCTTTTAGGATGCAGGGTGGCTAGAGTGGTTGCGGTCCTGCTAGGTCTCAGGCAGCCTCTGGTCCAGGCTCACCTGGGCACACACCACACCCTTGTCATGCCCTCTAGAATGGAGCCTCTTTCTGGCTATTCCCTTCTCCCCACTCCTTAACTCTCTGGCCCTGGGCCCATCAGCAAACACAATGTGCCTGTGAGGGACCAGCCAGACTTTTGTGTATGGTGCGCAGTTGTCCTCTTGCTCAGGGAGCATGATCAATGGGCGCTGTCTTGCAGGGGACTGTTAGGGAGTGTGAGGAAATGCTAGCTTGAGTAGAGATGGCATCCTGAGCCATTGCTCAACCTTCTCGTGGCTGGGAATGTGAGACCCAACTGAACCCCAGCCGAAAGCAATCCTGAGACCCGGCAGTATGCCACCTCCCTGTTTGGCTCACAGCAGTATCTGCCAGCCCCCCTGGGACTCATGGCCCTTCTGCCTTGGTCATGCAAAGCCAGTGCTGGTCCCTCATAGACTGTGGGATTGTCATCTATGTCCTACTTGGCCCCAGCATGGGGATGAGCAGGTGAACAGTGAGTCAGCCCAGGGCAGGCAGCCTGGGAAGAGAGCTGGGGAAGGCACTTGTTTTCTTTATTAAACATCTGCAGAGGACACCTCAGCAATGACCAGGTGGCCAGAGGAGGAAAGAACAGGCAGGAGGCATGGGGCCGGTGGGGTCGGGGGTGGGGGGGTGGGGGGCGTGTAGAGCAGAGAAGCATGGACAGAGACATGTTTTCCCTCATTTCCAGTCCTTGAAGAATTGCTTGAAGATGGGACTCTCACGGCCCTGGGGCAGAATCTCCACCTGCAGGATAGCGGGAGAGAAGTATGGCTGACAAGGTTGACATTTCTGTCTCTGCCAGGGAGGAAGATGTGGCACCCCAGGCCTGAGTCCACAGGTAGTTCAGGCCAGAGATGCTCCTCCAAATAAGCCAAGAGACAAGACACAAGGTCACAGGGACACAGGCTGAGCAAACAGACTGCTCCAAGGACTTGGATGTAGAGTTTGGCAGGTGCCAACAATTACAGATGAACTCTGCAGGAGTGACTTGTGGAGCCTCCATGCCGGGGCTAGAAGTGGTGGTAGCAGCCAGGGACTGTCGCCAAGAGGAGAAACAAGCCATCCAAGCTCTCCAGGCTCTTCAGGAGCTGCTCAACATCCTCTTTGAAAACAGGATGTGTTTTTAAATGATGAAGGATTGAAATGGGCCTTCCCACCAAAAGTGTGAGCAGAGGCGCTCCTGCTCCTCTTGTCCAGTCTGAGGGGGTAGGAGGCACAGGAGGGGCCCCAGGGGTAAGGTTTGAGGATGTGGGTGTGTCCTCACCTGAGTGTTTGGGGCATACTGCATGCGGGAGATGAAACCCTCGGCCACTTGGAGGGCCGCCTGCCGTTCCTTCTCATTAGCTTTTCGCCCTGGATCACAGGAAGGAGATTTTTAAAAAAAGAAGGGACCCTCTTTAGACTCTATCTCATTTTTCTTCAGGAAAGTTAAGAGAAGGTCCACAACTTAGCATAAGTGGACTAGGAGTTCCCAAAAATGCCGTTACAAAGTCAGTTGCTTAAGACTTTTTAAACTGACAGCTCCAACCAAACTAAGACAAAACTTCCCTTCTGCCTGGACCTAATCAGTAAACCCCTCTACTCTGACCAGGACTCCAGGAAGATTTCAGAGAGGACAGGTTTTCTCCATAGTACCCCACTGTAAGGCCAGGGACCCTCCTTCTCAGGACCCCTCACCTCTTGTGTCTGCAGTCTTATAGATAACACTATGCTATTAGCAAACCTTTTGTTTGTTTGCTTTCGTAAAATTAAATAAGACAAAGGGTACAATTTCTTCCTGAGGTGAACTGACTCATAATGCCAGCAAGCCAACATTGGCCTAATGGTTGTGCTAACAAAGCACTTAGAAAAATGACCCCATGGAATCCATCCACGCCGGCAGTCCCTCAAGTGCAAATTGTGCTCCAGGTGAAGGCATTTTTCCACTGCTGTGAGCAGTGATTGGCTCCCTATCCAGGCTATGGAATTCCAGTCAACTACAATGGATCTAAAAACACTATGCTGGGTCCTTCCTCTGTGAATTAACCAATTAACCAGCCGCACCCAACCCATCAGGCACTTCTTTCCCTGGCCTTCCATGTTTCCTGTTTCTCCTTTGCTTTCTCTTTCTGTGATGATTCCTTGCTTGGGGGTTACAGACACTTCCCTGGGCCTCTGGAAACCCCTCCATGATTGGCACTGGCTCCAGAAAGTGAGCCCCCTCCACAGGAGAGAAAAGGCAACCCCAGCACAGGGCCTATCTCACTCTAAGAATTAAGATTTCTTGACCTTTAGCTACCCGCCCATAGCACTTGCTGTTCCAGGCCCCCCTATTTTACCCACAGTTTGAAGCCAGCCTGGAAAAACAGTTCACAAGACCCTATCTCAGAAATATACAACACAAAAAAAGGCTGTCAGAGTGACTCAAGTGGTAGAGCACAGCAAGCGTGAGGTCCCAAGTTTAAACCCCAGTATCACCACAAAATGAAATAAAACAAAACAAAAAAAACCCCACACTGTTTCATCAAAACCCTCAACTGTGTGCCAGTGACCCATGCTTGTAATCCTAGCTACTCATGAGGCAGAGATTAGGAGCATCACAGTTCTAAGTCCAGCAGGGGCAAAAAGTTATCGAAGCCCTGTTTTGTAAAATCCCTCCGCAAAAAAAGTCTGGAGAAGTAGCTCAAGGTGTAGGCCCTGAGTTCAAACCCCAGTACCACAAAAACAAAACAAAACAAAAACCCTCAGACAAATACAGTTCTTGCTTTTCAGAAGTTTATAATCTGGTCAGGAAGTTAAGACACAGTCAAGAAAAGACAATCACAGAAAAGTGACCAGGCTCCAAGGTCACAACATTTTCCAATGGTCAAAGCAAACTGGGCAGGATTCTTCTCTTTCTAGCTGATATAATCGCTCCAAAAAACAAGTTCTTCACATTCTCCCCACACTGCGTAAAATGACAACTAATTTATCTAAAACTTGTCTCTGTTACACCTAAAACAGAATCTTGGGATCGGGGGTCCCAGAGCCCTGAAGGCCTAGGACTGGCCAGGACAGTGGTCTCAAAGTGGGGCCCCTGGGACCTTACAGGCATCCCTGGGAACTTGTTGGATTCAAGCATGCTCAGGCCCCTCTCCAGACTTGGTGAATCTGACTCTCTCAGGCAGGGCCCAGCAATGTCAGAACAGGCTCTCAGGATTCCAGGCTGGCTGCAGTTTCAGAATCACAGCCCAGACTTTAAACTGGCAAAAACCCTTGTTCCTTCCTATTATTGCTTATATTCTCTCTACAACAAAATTAGAAATAAGGGCAAAATAGTTTCTGCTGGGTATTGAGGGGGTAGGGGGGAGAGGGAGGGGACGGAGTGGGTGGTAAGGGAGGGGGTGGAGGCAGGGGGGAGAAATGACCCAAGCCTTGTATGCACATATGAATTAAAAAAAAAAAAAAAAAGACACATTAAAAAAAAAAAAAAACGGTGGAAATGGCAAAGAGGAAACTGTGTGCCAGGCTGAGCCCTGCAGTGGTTAGCCTGCTGAGGTCTGGGTGGTGCAGAGGAGCCACACGTACCCTTCCAGATGTAGATTTTGCCACAGAGCCCATTGTCTAGCACGAAGCAGTCATCAGGTATCAGTAGGTCGGAGGCAAAGGGACTAGAGTCGGCCACCTTGGTCAGGTTCATCTGTCCAGTGGCATCAGAGACCTGGGGAGGAAGGGCCATACTAGCTCTGAACCCCACACACACCAGCCTTCACCTCAACGCAAGGAATGGGTTGCTGCCCAGGCCTGCCTCTCCTGGGAGCCTCAGCCCAGTCCTGAGAAGCTGACAGAGGAGCAAAGTATTTAAAAGCAAACCCGGGGTGCTCCACTCCTGCCCATCGCCTCTGTCACCATCACCTTAGTACAAAGGACCTAATCCCATTTGAGAATGATAGGCTCCAAATTACAAATAAATGTTCAGACTCAAGAAAAGCTCACACTGGCTTCAAACCTTCACCAAGAGGAGGTGGGGAGTGAAGTGGTATTTATCTCCTCGGGGGACCCTGCCATGCACCCACTTCCCACCATCCTCTCCTCCAAGCCCTGCATGAACTTCCTTGGGTCTTGGCCCAACCTTCCCAAAGCCTCCTCCTTCTTCAGCCCCACAGCCCCAGCTGCTCTGTACACCATCCCTGGCTGGTCCCAGGGCAGGTCTGGAGTGCCCACCTTATACAGAGCTGAGGCCTGGGCATTCGACTGGTCAGCTGTGAGGTCTTCTTCCGGGTTGCCCTCCTTCAGAGCAGGCTTGGGACCCAGAACCTACAGGTGCCAGAGCAGACCAGGTTTAGTGGAATTCTCACCCTAAAACTTTCCAAACCAAACTATCACATGCAGATTAGATTTCTTTTTCTTTCTTTTCTTTTTTTTTTTTTGGCAGTACTGGGGCTTGGACTCGGCCTCATGTTTACAAGGCTTGCTAGGCAGATGCTCTACCACTTGAACCACTCCACCAGTCCTTTTTTCTTTTTTTTTTTTTCTGACTAGATTTCTAATCTAAGAAATTAGATTTCTTTTCAACAATATTCATTGTTACATGAATCAATTATAGAACACAGACCCAAACACTGACTGATTTTTTCTCCAACTGCTACTGGATTACCATTCAAACTCTAAAACTGACCCACACTTTTTCAACGTGCTCTTGTGGGGCACACTGTGTCCTGCACTAGGGCACCCAGCCATAGTGAGCAAGGACTGGGTCCAGCCCACCCACAGTCAGGCTGCTTGTCCCAAGGCTATATCCATCCAGAGGGGCCCCTTATGCTCCATCACACAAAGATACCCTGTGAGCAAGTCACAACACTGAGTAGTGCCCCAGGCAGCTCCTGTCATCCTCCACAGGCCACACTCATCCCCACTCCATTCTATCCCTTCCAGCTTATCACTGCCTCTCTTGGCAACTTCCAAGCAGAGGCTCCCAGCTGCTCACCCCAATGTCCCCTAACCTGGATCATCTCTGCAGGCTCCTCCCCATCAGTGATGATCTCCACTTGGGCTTTGCCCTGCCGCTCACTGTCCCGGATGGCCAGGGCCAGGTCTCTCGCCTTGTTGCGCTCCAGGATGTTGGATTTTCCGCCACACCAGGCAAAGATGTTCTGCAGGGAAGCAGGGAAGCAAGGAGCCTGGTCACGGACAGCTGTCTTTGTCCTGCCCCAGCTCAGAGGAAGGGCCCCACTCTCCCCTTGCTTTAGGGCAGGGATGTGTTATTTTGCTTTGTTCCCTATTATATGCCCACTGTTAAAATAGAGCTGGCACATTTTTAGGCACAAAGTACGTTTTGAGTGAATGAGTGAGTGAGTGAGTGAGCAAGTGAACAAAGGCATGAATGAATGGGTGAATGGGTGAATGCTATTCTTGAAATCAGTATCTCCTAAACTGGTAACAATTGGCAAGGTCTATTCCCTGTCTCCTTGCCTCATCTCACCACTTCTAGTCCTCACTACATCTTCTGGACTGATCTTCCTTCTCAAATCTGCAGCCAGACTCCAGCCTGCCATTCAATGCACCGGGACTCACCATTTTCAGCCATTTCACTACCACTGCTCCTGTTCCCGCCCTGGATTTCACTCTCACTACACTCTTCCCTGCTGTCCACATGCATGTCTGCATCCTGCCCCACCTTGGTGCCATGGGTCACCTGGAGGTGAGGTGAGGGTGCCTTCCCTTACCTGAAATGGTACTAGTCCCATAAAGGTCTAGTCACATGGCACCTCCCTGGGACAACTAACTATGATTCAGGCTAAAAGGCCCCTTCCTGTCTTGGGCAACCCCAGTCTATGGCTGCTGCCCCACTTCATGTCCCGCCATGAGTTACAGCAAGTGACCTCTCCATGGTGAGCTTTTATGGTCCCCATGCTGGCTCAGAGGAGCATTACAGATTCACTGAATGAGCCTAAGTGAATAAATTAACCAATGATCTGGCAGGAGCTAACTCAGAGCTATGAAGGTTTCTAAGAGAACAGGAAGTAAGCTCCAGAGTCTTAGAAGTAATGGCTAGGTATCCGAGAGAGGCTGGTTCTGTCCTCACAAATACAGTCAACCTCTGTATTTATTAGACCAGATTCAAGCAACTGAGAATCAAAAATATCCAGAAAAAAAATGGCATATGTACTGAACACATACAGACTTTTTTCTTGTCATTACTCCCTAAACAATACAGTATAACAACTATTTACACAGCATTTACATCATAGAAGGTATTATAGGTCATCTGGAGATGATTAAAGTATATGGGAGGAAGGACATAGGTTATGTGCAAATGCTATACCATTTCACATAAGAGACCTGAGGATTGTGGATTCTGGTGATGGGGGTAGGGAGGCTGTAAATGATCCGTTGCTGATGCTAAGGGCTGACTTGTATAGAGATGTCTTCTCGTGGCTGGACGGTCAACCTTGGAATGGGCATACAGCTTCTCAGTCCCCGCCCCCTTCTTTCCCAGCCTCCTGGCCCTGACCCCTAAAAGTATGGTGCCAGCTTCAGTCTGGGCCACCTACCCACCTGGCCAAGGTCTAGGATGAAGCAGTCCCCGGTGTTGAAGCTGTCCCAGCTTAGCGCTTGCTCAGTGGCACGGATGTTCTTCTTCCCCTTCACCTGGTAGAGTTTCCTGATAGCAGCTGGGGCGGCCCCTGAGGCAGTCTTGTGAAATGCTGACTCCACACCGCCTTCCTGCAGCCCAGAAGACCCGTCTGAGCGGGCTGATGGGAGACCCAGAGCCCTCTGCAACCCGTCCCATTGGCAGACCCAGCCCCAAGTGTGCCCAGGGCCTACTGCAGGATACGAAGGAGCCACACAGGGGGTTGGCTCTGAGAGTAACGCACAGGGGTGGGGGAGGCCCTCACCTGGTACTTGAGGCCACGTGGGAAGTAGCTCATGAAGAGGTCAGACTCATTGCCCTGCACCTCACGGTGTTGCACAGGCCGCTCCCCAAGCAGAGTATTGAGATGCACAGCCAGCACAGCACAGGCCCCCTGCTCATCCCGGGATGACTGCTGGCCTATGAACAGGTGGGAGGTGGCAGAGCAAAGCCCTTGAGGCCCATGTCAGCCTCCAGCCCTGCCCAGGCCAGACCTCCCATCCACCCCAACCCCTTTACCTATCCATAGATGCAGATGAGAAAGCTCTTCTGGACCATTGTGCAGCACTAGGTAGGAGTCCCCCGAGAAGAAGATACCCTGGTTTTCGCGTGCTACAGGCACCGGCTTCAGCTTCTCCACCCGCCATATGTGCAGGCCAGGATCTTGTACTGAGGTTGGGAATGGGGAGCGGCTGGGGAAGGGATGGTGGTGATGGGTTAATCGTGGCCAAGACCTATGAAGAGTGGGCTCAAGCACAGAGACCTGAGCAGGCCTGGAGACTGAGGTTGGGGGATGAGAGCAATGAGGAGGGAGGGGCAACCCTTGGAAATGAAGATGGGAAGGAGGTCACGGGGATGGGGCACATGACCTACCTCTGGGGGATGGGTGTGTACATGCTGTTTTCAGATCTAGAAAGAGAGAAGCCATTATTATTACGGAGGTCATAACAGCCATCTCTCACATTGGTCTGGGGATGCCCTTCCAGGTAGCCAAGTACTGTCTTATTCATCAACTCCTTCATCTCTGGGAGCCCAGAAGGAGACTGTCCTTGGTTCCATTATACAGGCAAAGAAAATGAGACACAGCTCTAAGTCCAAGATCACACAGCTAGTGAGTGGCTTGTAGAAACCGGATCTCTCTGACTCCTAGGTCAGTGTCTTCTCCTTGTCATGACCTCTCAGCCACACCTGTTATCCACCCTCAACCTGGGTATTGCACAAGGTTGGGGTGTAGCTCTCTAAGGAATAACTGCTTATATTAGAAAAGTTCAAAATCAATGACTTAAACTGCCACCATAAAAAAAGAAAATAGAAGCCAGGCACCAGTGGCTCACACCTGTAATCCTAGCTACTTAGGAGCTGAGATCTGGAGGATCCTGATTCAAGGTCAGCCCAGGCAAATAGTTTATGAGACCCCATCCAAAATTACCAGAGCAAAATGGACTGCAGAAGTGGCTCAAGTGATAGAGTACTTGTTTTGCAAGTGTGAAGCCCTGAGTTCAAACTCCAGTACTGCAGGGAAAGCAAAAAAAAGTTCCCTTATCTGACTAAGAGGAATTTCTTCAGTAGGAATGCAATTCTCAAGAACCCCCTTCCTGGCATCTCATTAATCACTAATCAGACAGTGCTAGCTTAGAAGAAAAGGTTTGACACTTTTTCCAGTCTATTCTTCTGAGGTCTTTACACAAGAGGCTTTATTTACATTTAGTCAGCCTTGTTGCCATGTGTTTCCTCCCCTCAGCCTCACCAGCTATTAAAATTTCAGCTGGGGGTTAGGGATATAGTTCAGTGGTAGAATACCCATCTGATCTTGGGTTTGCCTCTCACCACCATAAAAAAAAAAAAAAGAAATTCAAATTCAACCATCTAAGGCTGGCAGAGTGGTTCAACTGGTAGAGCCTAGCAAGCGTGAGGCCCTAAGTTCAAACCCCAGTACCACATTCAACCATCTAGCCTGCTCCCATGCACTTGCTAGTAATAAATGAGTATGCCTTTCCTCCTGCCAATCTGTCTATTGTCAATTTATTTTATAGACCCAAATATCAAACCTTCAATAGGGCATTTCCATTACCCCTCCACATGAATAATTCTAATATCTATTTGTAAGGATTAGCTCAGGGTGGGTCTTTTCTGTCGAAAGATTTGATTAGTAATAACTGCCTCAGTAACTCGCTTCCCATATACTTGCTTCATGGACTCTGCTTAACCTGATGAAGCTTTCTAGTATGAGCAAAGGATTATTATCCTCAGCATCCTCAAAATTCTACTAGATGCCCTGCTTCCAGAGCTGATAACCTAAAACAGTTATTGCTTCCCTGAACTTTTAAACTTCTTTGTCTTCAAAGCCCCCTCCCCACCTGTCCCCTTTCCAATTAGCCAACGGAGTAGACTGTGAACCCAAAGCCTACCCAATCCAGGGGAGGGGCAGCATTGTGTTAGAGATAAAACCCAAGTGGTCTTCCTGCTCAGTGTGCTTGCTTCCCAGACTCTGTCAGTGCACACCCTTCTGCAGAAGTAAATTTTGCTTTGCCTATTGATTTCTGAGTTGTGTTGTCTCTCTCATGACACCCCAATACCTTAAAGATATTTCTAATATATTAAAGAAATTTGGAGCCTGGCACTGGTGGCTCACTCCTATAATCCTAGCTACTCATGAGGCAGAGATCAGGAGGATCATAGTTTGAAGCCAGCCCCTGGTAAATAGTTCAAAAGACCCTATCTTGAAAAATACCCAACACAAAAAAAGGCTAGTGAAGTGGCTCAGGAGGTAAAGCATCTGCCTAGCAAGCATGAGGCCCTGAGTTCAAACCCCAGTGCTGCCAAAAAGAGAGAGAGAGAGAGAAAGAGAAAGAAATTTGGAGTTGAGGGGTGTGACTCTGGCAGAACACTTGTCTAGTATGCATGAGGTCTTGGGTTCAGCTTTAACACTGAAAAAAAGATTGTTTGAGTTCATAGTAAAAAAAACCTTTCCCCTCAAAAAAAAAAAAAAATCTTAGCCCACATGGCCTCATTGTTAAACTCAATGAGAAATTATTTTTACCAGAAATTTAAGGAAGACATAATACTAATTCCATACAAATTCTTTCAGAATATAGAAGAGGAAAGAATACTTCCCAATTCATCCTATGCTGCCAGCATTGTCCTGATGACAAAACCAGATAAATGTACTATATGCAAAGAAAATTACAGATCAAATATCTCTTATGAACATAGACACAAATAAAATTTAGTGAAATTCTAGCAAATAGAATTCAATCATATATAAAAAATGATAAGCATGATGACTTAAAGAGGTTTATGCTGGGAATGCAAAGTTGGTTTAACATCTGAAACTCAACCAATGTAATCTAGCCTATAAGCAAGCATACATGTGTGAAGCATACATATATGTATGTGTGTGTATATATATATACACATACATATATGTAATTTCAATAGATGCAAGAAAAAAACTTTTAGCAAAATTCTACAACCATTTCTGATTCTTTGAAAAAAAAAACAAAACAAAGCTAGCGGTGGTGGCACACATATGTAATCCCAGCACTCAGGAGGCTGAGGCAGGAAGATTATGAGTTTGAGGCTAGCCTGGCTACAGAGCTCCATGCCAGCCTGGACAAGACGCTGTCATGGGAAAAAAATTTCTTAGCAAACTAAGAATGGGAGAGACTTCCTTAACCAGTAAATGGCATCTACTAAAACTAAAATAAATTTTTAAAAAACTTTCAGCAAATATTCTACTTAATGGCTGTTCCAGTCCCAATCTCCCTCTCTAGGGAATTTCTCTCATTCCCAGGCATCAGCTATCACTTCGGTGTGTGCCACTCTTCTCCAATGCCAATATGATGAAAGTCGTCTTTATCTGAAGGTTAGTGGGGCAGAACATAGTGGGGTGAAGGAAAATTAAAGTCAAGCATTTAAAAACAAAATTGGCTTGTGGAGTGGCTCAGATGGTAGAGTGCTTGCCTAGCAAGCGTGAGGCCCTGAGTTCAAACCCCAGTGCCACCAAAAAAAAAAAAAAGTACAGCCAGGCACCTGTGGCTCACACCTGTAATTCTAACTACTCAGGAAGCAGAGATTAGGAGGATCGCGGTTCAAAACCAGCACAGGCAAATAGTTTGCAAGACCCTATCTCGAAAAAAACCATCACAAAAAAGGGCTGGTGGAGTGGCTCAAAGTGTAGGCCCTGAGTTCAAATCCCAGTACTACAAACACACATACACCATCTTTTTAAAAAATCAGAAAATGAAGACACTACAGCGTCACTCACTGTCTTGCCTAAGTTCCCATTGCTAGCTGGTTTCTTTTGCCGGGTTTAAAATGCAGGAGTCACTAAACACAAGATCGGAAAGTTTGGTATAAATACCTCTGAGTTTTTATGAGGGGCCCCCCTCTCCCGTGGTGCAGTTAGGGTCTGGGGAAACTGAGGGCATGGTTGGAGACTGAGACTGCAGAAAGGGAGAAGAGACTGTCTAGAGGGTGGCTGGGAGAGTGGTGTTGAGTCTGAGTAAGGAAAAAGGAGGGGGAGGCATAGCGATGGTAACGGATGTGGAAGGCCACGTAAATTACCACTTGCCTTTTCTACTACCAACCTACAAGATAGTGGAGGGTGGTTTTTGGCATCACACTTCCCTGAGGCTGGGAGGCAGTGAGAGAGAGTTTGGGAGGGAATTAAGGCTTCTCCAGCCCACACAGGGTCACGTGGTAATACCCACATCCCCTGTGCAGGCAGCCCAGCCTGGGACTCAGGTGGGAAGTGGTGACGTGGCTACTCCAAACCCCAGCTAGCCCAAGCCAGCGGGGAGAGCTAAGGAACGAGAGATGGAGTGAGTCAACTGTCAGCTTTGCTATTTTTCTTTCTGTATTATTGAAATGAGAAATCAGCAGGCTCAAAATCAGACCACTCCCTTGCTCTCCCCCAGCCACTGCAGGGTTCTGATGAAAGGGGTTTGGCAGCTCCTTCATAGTTCTGGCTGCCTGTTAGAATTACCTTCAAATGTAGGTGTTGACAAGATCCTTTGGCCAAACTGCTTTTGAGCCTTCTTTTAGGTCCATCTGTGCACTTCCTTGTAAAATCCAGTTTTAGCCAAAGAGTCAGGATAGTCAGAAGTCCCCACCCTCCACTTTCAGTCTTCCTCGATTCTGATCAGCTTTCTTGTCCTCCACCATCCCCCAGGTGATGGCTGATCATCCTGGCTAGCCTTCAGCAAGAATCCTGTTAGGTCGGTTTGGACAGAACCTCCCTTACATGTGGGCGTGTTTCCTTTCAGTAATTTTCCATTCCGTGACCCTCATCCTGCTCCTCTTGCTATAAATTCCCCACATGGCCATGTTGTATTCAGGGCTAAGCCCAGTCTCCTTTCTCAATGCAAGACCCTGATGCTGAGGTCTCTACACCTATGGCGATGGTCCCTATAGTCTTCTTTACTATGCTTTATCAAGTATCACTGGTAACACTGCCCACACCCCAGGCCTGGAGAGTTGACTTCCACAGGTCTGGAGTGGGGCTGAGTATATATCTGAAGGGATCACGATACTGCCAGTGGATTCTGTCAGAATAACCATTGAATCCTTGGCACGTTGGAAATCATCCACAGGGCTTTTAAACCTCTCGATGCTAAAAAATCAGCCTGGGCACCAGTGTTTGAGAAGTTTCAGAACAGTACTGAAGCTCCTGCTGCCCCACCAGATCCCTGCATTCCCACCCTGTTCCAGGCTCTCCTGATGAAGGGTCCAGCCTGACATCTGGCCTCTCATTCTAGCCTCCTCATCCCAGTTCTTTCGCCCAAGCCCACACCTTCAGCCTCACTCCATCAAAGTTCCACCATCCCTGTAGGCCCACACCAAGCTCCTGCTGCCCAAGGAATCTTGCAGACCATCCTGTAACCTAAGCCTCCTGTGGGAGTTCTTTCAGTGCTCTCAGCTGGGAGCATGCACTTCAGCCCAGACTTGTAGGCTGACTGCTTGATGTCTAAACCAGAACAGGGACACCTGATGCCCCTGTGCACTCCTCAGGCAGCCTACACAGAGGTTATTCAGTTTCATTCAAAGTCTGTGCTCCAGGCTCCACACTGAGCAAGCCTAGGGGGAGGGGATGCACAGAGATAAGAAACAGCTTATGCCTCATGACCTCGCTGGAGGGTGCAGTGAAGTGGGGAGCGTTCACACCCAATGAACCTGCAAACTCTCCCCAGGAGAGGAAGGTCAGAGAATCACAGATGTCAGCATTAGAAAGAAACAGTGTTGATCTAGTCCTGATTCAGATCTGCTTCCCAACACACATACAACACAGAATCTCTTCTAGAGCACCACACTGCTCACCATCCTCTTCTTTCTTTTTGAACTCAGGGTCTCACGCTTGCTAGGCAGGTCCATCCTCTTCTTGAATGCTTCTGGTGATAGGAAACTCACCAACTTCACAAGGCAGCCTCTTCTATATTCTCTCTCCTTCTCCCTTTCTCTCCCTCCCCCTCTTCCCTCCTTCTCTATTTTTTTTTTTTTTGCAGTATTCGGAATCAAACCTAGTACCTTGTCAATGATAGGTTAGTGCTCTACCACTGAGCAACATCGAAGCCCCCTTCTAGATCTCCACTTCTGTTGAAGATGTTACCTTTTCCCCCTCGGCCAATAGTGTGGAGAGTTAGGCACCCGCTGTCTCCCCTAGACTATAAGGGCCTTTGGAGCAGGAGCTGGATTTTGTATCTCTGCATCTAGCTGAACCTCTCACTGCCTGATATCCTGTGGGTGCTCAAAGGCTGAGTTTGACTAACTGGACTTTCTGGGCTCCAATGATTAGAGCAGATGGAATGAATCTAAGGCACAGGCCATGATTTCAGCAGGCTGGCATGGCCTGGAACAGCCTCAAGGCAGAAAGCAGATTGATGGGTCCCATCAGACTGCTGTGGGGCTGAAGAAGGATGTGTACCCTGCTGGCTGTCCTGGCCCTGATTCCGTTTGTCTCTGAGGACATAGTAGGGGTCTGGTGACGGAGTCACTTGTTATGCACACCTTTAAGGAAATGCTTAACAGCTGGCAGTGACCCAATCCTGTGACAGTGACCCAATCTTGCAAGGTACCAGTTGTATCTTTGCCTTCCTCAAGCCCTGACTCCACTGACCTCCCCCATAAGTCCCTTCATATTGCAATCCCTGTCTGCCCCTCAGTGAGACATAAAACAGTACCCATCCTTCTCCTGAAGTGTCCACACTAGAAACCACCAGGTCCTCCCAGCCTATGTTCTGGGTTCCTCAGGAGGCATCCAGAGGCGCCTCTGGGCACTCCAGGCCAGTGTTCCTTCTCCCAACAACAAGGAGACCTCCTACTCTACCTCAGGTACACCTCCACCTCCCCCCTTCCCTGTCCTAGACAGACCTTCTGCTGAGGGCTAGTTGAATGTGCTTCCTGTGTTTGAATTTGGATGTCTAGGCCTGCCTCCTCCTCTTCCCAAACCCCTCGAGTCCAGTTGGCTAGTCCCGCCATAGTGCTGTTTTGGGGACTAGAACTACCAAATCTGAATTCACTGCCAGGCTGGCTGAGGGCCTTCAGTGTCTGTCAGAATGAATTCCAGCCCACAAGTCTCTCCACCTGTAGCTATAGCATAAGCCACTTGGAGCCCACTCAACCTCCTGGGCAGCTGCAGGACAGGAGTCAAGTAAGGCACCTAAGGCCTGGCAGAAGGCTGCCCAGCAGTAGACTGGGGGCACTCTTTCTGGCTCAGTTTCTAAGACCCTGACACAAGGCCTAACCTGTCTCCCCAAGAGAATCCTTGCCATCCCCTTCCAAGGGCCACCTCCTATTTTCACCTCTGACAGTCCTCCTACTTCTGCTTCTTTGGCTCTTCTTCCCATCCAGCCCCACCCCAGCTCCTTACTTCCCTCTTTCTTCTGGGCTGCCCCACCCACCTGCCCCACCCATGGCGAGGCACAGGGCTGGGAGACCAGCCTTGACATAGAAGAGCAGGCTTGGGGCTCCATGGGGTTCTGCCAGCCCCACTCTTCACAAATGCCCACAGGGAGGTTAGAGGTCGGCCCCAGCCTCAGCCCAGTGGTATCAGGCAGGGCAGACCCTGGACAGCATCGCTGAGTCTGGAATTTACAAGAAAAGCCCTGTTTCCCACTCACCAGATCCGGCAGAAGACGTCTGCACAGCTCCTGTTGCTGCTGGGTTAGTCACATTTCCTGGGTGGGGTCACTGGCTCTGCATCACTTTTTCCTCCTCCCCCTGACTTCTCTTTCTCCTTGCCATGAATGAATCTTTTTTTTTAAAATCTTAGTTCTGAGGGAGTGGCTAAGGCCCTGACACATTCTTAGCATTTCCTGTCAGCTCCTCATTCACCACATGCCCGCTGTCACACAGTCTGGGCACTGGGCACGCTGAGGAACGGCAATAGAAATAGCATGGTTCCGGCTGGACCAGGGCAACCATCCCTCCTACATCATGGTCACAGCCAGTCTGGTCCAACTTGCTGGCTCTGCAGAGGTAACGGGCCCTGGAAGCACAGGTGACTGCCCATAGTCGCACAGGCAGCAGAAGGCCAGAAAGCCAGGGTTTTTTTTTTTTTTTTTTTTGGTGTCACTGGAGCTTGAACTCAGGGCCTGGAGCTTGCTTGGCAGGTACTCTATCACTTAAGCCCCCTCCCCCCCATTCCCTTCTGAAACCATGGGGAAGGAAGAGCAGAATCTGAGTAAAGCTCCAGGAGAAAGTGAGCATTTAGTTATGTAGTCATACACAAATGGCTCGCTGCCAGGATGGCCTGTCCTAGAAAAGTGTCAGTCAACATCTAGTTCCAGACAGGGCTCTGTGTTAGGATTGAGACTCCAACCCTAGCAGTGGTGGATGAAAAATCTTGAGCAAGCCTTCCCAATTAGTCAACCTTGAAACCAAGGTTATTTGACTGAGGGGGAAGCCAGAAGAAAACAGACTACAGGATGGATGTGTTTTTGTTTGGTTGAGTTATTTTGAGATAGGGTCTTGCTACGAAGCCCAGACTGGCCTCAAACTTGAGCTCCTCCTGCCTTTGCCTGCTAAACGCTGGGATTACAAGCTTGTCAAAAATTCTTCCCAAGGTGTGGCTCATATGGTAGAGCGCCTACTTTGCAAGCACAAAGCCCTGAGGTCATACCCCAATCTCACCAAAAAACAAAAAAAGCACCCCAGAAAACAAAAGTTTTCCTCAAAGAACACAGCCTGTGGCTAGCATACAAGTGTCTCCATAGTCAACTGAGAGCAACCTTTTTTTCTTTTCTTTTCTTTTCTTTTGGCTTGAACTCACAGCCTTGTGTCTGCTAAGCAAGGTCACTTAAAGAACCATGCCCCAGTCCTCTCTGCTTTTAGTTTGTTTTTCAGATAGGGTCTGTGTTTTTGCCTGATGGCCTGGGACCACAATCCTCTTACCTCCACCTCCAAAGTAGCTGGGATTATAGATGTAATCTCTAATTACCACCACACTGCCCCTGCCCACCCTCTCCCAACCAGGGTCTGGCTACATTTGCCCAGGTTGACATTTAACTATCTATCCTCTCTCCTCAGCCTTGGTATTACAGGCATGGACCACCATGCCCAGCTCCAACTGACAGTCTTAAAAACAGGGTAATCTCTGTTGAAATCCCAGCAAGAACCACGAGAACTATAGGCTATCCAGATAAGTTGGTAGCAAGTTTAAGAGTTGCACAGCTTGGGTATTTACCAACTGTGCTTCCTCAGGCCAGGGACTCAACTTCCTGGGGGCCTCCTTGTGGCCAGTCTGTAAAATGAGCATACAGATAAATGAGATCCTATGATTAATGAGTAAACACTAGATGCTCAATAAGTGTACATTTCTTTCTCCTCTCTTTAGTTTGATCTTAGCAATGAGAGTTTACTAAGGACAGCTCCTGGGGTAGCAATCCCTGCTCAGTGGACAGCTGCAAGGGGCAGAAAGTTAAAGTGCAATTCACCCCTCTTCTCCTACCCTCTCCATCCTGAGTCCTCCCAGGTTGCTAATTCTGGTCACATCAGTGCAGAACCTGGGTGACTCTTAGGTTGCCGACCCTGTGCACCCACCCAGGAGACAAAGATGAATGAGAATCACTGTTCCCTACACTCGAGTCTTTCCAAAGGAGGCCTTGTCACCAGAAGAAGAAAACAAAAAGAGGGAAAGGTTGACAAAGGAACAGTCAGAAGAGAAGGCAGGGCAGGCAGCCTACAGGTCCCCCGCGGCTGGGAGCTCAAACAATGCACATATTAACAAAGTACCTGGAAACAGGACTCTAGAACT